GGTAAATCCCCCTCACATCCCGCCGAGCGCCCAGGCCCTGCCAGGGGTCAGCTCAGCGGAACCAGGAGAGCAGCGGCTGGAGGCTGTGCATCTGAGGAGCAGTTTCCGAAAAGCCAAGTCCCGTGGAGATGCGAGGCACACACCTCGAGCTTCTCCCGGAAACCGGAAGGACCGAGCCTTAAGAATAAGGACTCTCGCATTGCTAAGGATTGTGCTCTGGGAACAGGGCTAAATCAGATAGACCCGCCTCCACCAGGTCTAACACGGAGCTTTCACTGCTTCGGGGAATGTTACTGCTTCCAGGAACGTAACTGCTAGAGGAAATGACAATCTTGCTCAGGGAACAGAACAGAATCCAGTGTCTACAATGTATCAGCTTCTGTAATTTATCAGCTTCCTACCATGTATCAGCGTCTACACTGTATCAGCTTCTTAATGTATCAGAGTCTACAATGTATCAGCGTCTACACTATCAGAATCTACAATGTATCCGGCGTCTACACTGCAGCACCACAACATCCCAAACCCCACAGCAGACAGCGGTATGTGAGGCGGGAGGACAGTCGGTATAAGCAGACACATTTTCTGAACCGAATTTCCCTGCTGAACGTCCAGTGTGGGACGCAGTGCCTCCCGTAGACCTCAAAGGCCGAGGGCTGCCTCCCAGGCCCCCCGGTGAGCCCTCCTCTCCCGTCCACACTGGTGTGGTCCTGAGGCCTGTGCGTCTGCCGCGGCCACGGCCACCCGGCTACCAGCAAGAGGCCTGGGGACTGGGCTCCAAAGAGTAACTTCTCGGTCCCGCCCACCTGGCAGGAAGCCCTGTGGGCACCCTCTTCTCTCCTAGTGCCCCCCCCCCCCCCCCCCCCCGGGCCGGGATCTGGAGCCTTCCCCTTCCTCCTGTGCACCCGTGTGTCCCCCGGCCCTCCCTCTGCCCCGCAGGGAGGCGGGGGCGGAGCCGGGGCGGGTGAGGACGCTCCGCGGCAAATGCCAGAGGTGAGCCGCCCGCCAGGCAGGGCCAGCCAGGGCTCCGGACGCTCTTCCCGGAATGAACGCGCACGCGGGATCCTGTGCCTGCCTGCCTCCGGCCGGTGTGTCAGCGCTCTGCTATGAAGCCGGAGCCGCAAATAGCTCTGCAGGTCCCTGCGGGAGCCCTCTCCAGGGGCAGCAGAAGTACAGCCCAGGCCTGGGCTCCGGGGGACTGACCGCCGTAAACACAGAATCTGATTTGTTTTATTTTTGTTTCAATCCTCGAGTGAGCGAGAAAAACATCAGTTGGTTGCCTCTCAGAGGCGCCCCAGCCGGGGGTCGAACCCACAACCTAGACAGGTGCCCTGACAGGGAATCAAACCCGTAAGGGATGACGCTCAGCCAACTGAGCTGCCGACCGGACTGGGCAATATGGAAGTGTGGTTCTTAACCTCACTGTCACCCACAAAACCACGTCCGCCCACCCCATCACCGTCCCTGTCCCCCTCCCCACCCTATCCCCACCTCCATCCTCCTCCCACCCCCCTCCCATCAGGATCCACCCCCTGTGCGCCCCTCCCCCACACTGGGGCTTGCTAAGCAGCCCCCTCACGGGCGGCCGGCACGGTCACCGCACCCAGTGTCCTGCCCAGGAAGTCACACCTCTGGGCCGGTGGCACCTGGGGACCTGCCTTTGTCCTTTGATCTGAAAATGCTCATTCTTTGTTGTTGTTGTTTCTTAATTGATGTCAGAGAAGAAAGGAGACGGAGGGAGAGAAATGCCAAGGATGAAAGGGAATCATGGACGCCCCCTACGGGGGATCCAGCCCGACACCCAGGCCTGTGCCCTGACTGGGATTCAGATCGTTACCTCCTGGCTCCTAGGTCAACGCTCAACCACTGAGCCACACCAGCCGGGGCACGATTTTCTTTCTTATGAGCTGGGGATGGGGGCCTCTTTCCTGCCAGGGCCCTTGGACACGTGTAGCTTCACGCGGGGCCTTACGAAACAGCCAACCCCCACCAGCTCAGCCCGGCGGTGCCCTGGTTCCCTCTCCGCAGGTGTCACCGTCAGACTGCGAGAGGCACCTGGAGAGGGAGTTCCGGGCTGGCCCTGGCTGGGGGCTCAGGGGCAGAGCATCCGCCTGAGCACCAGTGGGTCACGGGTTCGATTCCCAGTTGAGAGAACGTACCTGGGTGACAGGTTTGTCCCGGCCCTGTGGGAGCATGTGCGGGAGGCAACCCTTCGATGTGTCTCTCACATCGATGACTCTCTCTCTCTCTCTCTCCCTCTCTCTCTCCTCCCCACTCCACTCTCTAAAAATCTCTGGGTAAATAGCCTCAGGTGAGATTAACAAAGAAAATATAAACGGCTTCCCGTCCACGTTTCTGTTCAGTGGACCATGCATCACACTGGACACACACGCACAGGCACACGCACACACATGTTCCTCCATGTGCCACAGACTGGCAGTGGGACTCTCCCAGCGGTCAGCACCGGCCCTTAGCACCGGCCCCACCTCACTGCCACCTGTGGCTCCTTTATACCCACACCCGGTCAGGCCCAGGACCACCCCCTCTCCCCGCCGGGTGTGTGAGGTCCCGGGCAGTGCCCCTCGGCAGTTGCAGCATTGGCATCGGCCAGGCCGTGCTGTGGGAGCCTGAGAGGCGGTGCCCCCCGCAGAGCCCACGCCGGCCAGAGGTTAAAAATAACCGTCCCCACACCTCCCAGGGCCTCTCAGATCGCCTCACAGCGAACTGAGAACCTGCAGCGCAGAGCCTGGGGGGCCGGGAGACGCTCAGCTTATTCCAGTGACCAGAGGGTCTGGATCAGGGGCCGTGGCTGCCTGGTGGCAGAAGGCTCAGTCTCGTGCTCAGAAGGTGACCTGCAGGGGGGAGGAGGGGCTGGGAGCTGCCTCTCATGTCCCTTCCGAACCAAAGAGAAATAACCGGAAACGCCGGACCCCTCCAGTCTCAGCAGCCGAGCCCGCGCCGAGCCGCCCTCCTGGAGGGAAAGTCCCTCTTCCCTCCGTATCTGGCTGACTTACCGGCCCCGGCAGGAGAGCCGGGCGGCTGTCCCCGCACCGGCTCCGGCCGCCCTGGCCCGTCGTCTGCCCGGGATCACATGGAAGCGGCTATAAATGTGCTGGGCTTGTGGCCGGGACGCCGGCCTGGCAGGCAGCGGCCGCCAGCAACCTGACCCCGGCCTGGCTTTCCAGAAGGCTCTGCCGGGGTGGAGGCAGGGGCCACGGGGCAGGTTCCAGAGCCAGTTTCCACCGCCTTCAGCTGCACCTTCAGTGACTTGGGGCAGTGCTACATGTTGCGGGGGCGGGTAGGACCGGCCACTTTTCAAAACAAAGCAGCCTTATGACGAGGAGGAGGAGGAGGAGGGGGAGGAAGAGGAGGAGGAGGAGGGGGAGGAGGGGGAGACGAAGGGCTTCAGGGGAACACAGACCAATCCTCGCCAGCGTCTGCTGGCCTCATCACACCAGGCTGTCCCTTCCCAATGTCTCTGAGCCCCGAGCGGAGAAGGAGCCAGACGGGAGGCCTGAAACCCAGGGAGCTCCCTGCAGGGCTCACAGGGTGCTTCCTCCCCTGTCTGCGCCTCGTCCCTAGCTGCGTTCCCCCAGGGCGGGGGTGGGGGGCTCCTGGGCCCACCAGGCAGGCTGCTCCGTGGGGAGCGCGGGCCACGTGGCTCAGGGTCTCCCCGCAGCTCACTCCCAATGTGGGGCGGGCAGGAGACAACCAATCGATGATTCTGTCGTTATTGATGTTTCCATCTCACTCTCCCTTCCTCTCTGAAATCAATAAAAACATATATTTAAAAAGGGGGCCAAAACCGGTTTGGCTTAGTGGATAGAGCGTCAGCCCGGGAACTCAAGTGTCCCGGGTTCGATTTCAGTCAAGGGCATGTACCTTGGCTGCGGGCACATTCCCGGTAGGGGGTGTGCAAGAGGCAGCTGATCGAGGTTTCTCTCTCATCGATGTTTCTGACTTTCTGTCCCTCTCCCTTCCTCTCTGTAAAAAAATCAATAAAATGTATTTTTTTTTTAAATGTTAAAAAGGGGGTGGAGCCAAAACTGGTTTGTCCTAGTGGATAGAGTGTCGGCCTGCAGACTGAAAGGTCCCAGGTTTGATTTCTGGTCAAGGGCTTGTACCTCGGTTGCGGGCACATCCCCAGTAGAGGGTGTGCAAGAGGCAACTGGTTGATGTTTCTAACTCTCTATTTCTCTCCCTCTCCCTTCCTCTCTGTAAAAAAAATCAATAAAATATATATATATTTAAAAATTAAAAGGGGTGGGCACGTGGGTAGGTATAGTCACAGTCTTAGTGACCAGGTTTCTCACTGTTGAGGGGGACTTTAAGGATGGAGCGAGGGGAAGGAGAAAAAGCCCGGGGCTGCCGGATGGCACGTGGGGGCATGGGTGGGAACTCCGGTCGCATCCGCCATCTGCCTCGCAGCGTAGCAGGGACAGAGGAACCTTCAGAGGCCAGGGAGCAGGTGGCTGGGGTCTCGGTGCCAGGCCGCAGCCAAGAGCAGGCGTGATGCCGAGACTGAAACGTGTGCAGGCCGCGGTGTCATGCTGCTCCTGTGGTGATGTGCCCTCGCACCAAGGAGAACTCTGGGAAGACGACATTGCAGTAAAAGCCAGAGTGCACGGAATGGAGCTCACACGTTTGTCTTCGGGACTTGCTGCACATAACCCCGCTGTGCCTCGTGTTTTCCAGTGTTTCAGCTTGAGAGTCAGTCACAAGCGGACCCGCAGGCAGAGGGGCGCTGCGTGCCCGGGACCTGCAGGCCGTGGCGGGTGCTGGGGCGCGGGGACCCTGGGAGCCTGGCCGGTGGGTGCGGGGGCTGAGCAGCGGGCCCGCGGGCCCTGCGGTTCCCGGCGTCGCCTCCAGGGGCGCTCTGGCCGCGCGCGCCGCCACGGCCGCTGCAGTGCCGGCCTCCGGCCGCGGGGAGCGCTGTGCGCCGGCGCCCCGGGCTGACCCGCGGGGAGCGCGCTCGCGGCTCGGGCTTTCAGTTTCTGGCGCGAACTTCCGCCCGAGGTGGCGGCGGCGATGTCGGGGGACAGCAGCGGGCGGCGGCCGGAGGGCCGGGGCCGGGCCCGCGAGCCGCACCGGGGGCGCCCCCGCTCCCGCTCCCGCTCCCGCTCCCCGCTCGGGCCCCGCCGCGGCGCCGCGCCCGCGCGCAGGGAGGCCCCGGAGCGCCCGAGCCCGGAGGACGGGGAGCCGTCGGACTCGGGGGACGAGCTGCTGGACCCCGCGAGCCTGGAGGCGGAGACGGACCACGGCCTGTGCCGCCAGATCCGCCACCAGTACCGGGCGCTCATCACCTCCGTGCAGCGTAAGCGGGCGGCGCGGGGCCGGGGCGCGGGGTGCAGGAGGGCGGCTCCGCACGGGGCCCCGCGTCCCCCGTGCCCCTCGGGCCGCAGGACCTTGCGGGGGCGGGTCCCGGCAGGAGGCACCGCGGAGCGCGCAGCCGGGAGAGCTGTCACCGCGCGGGTCCCTGCGCGCGTGTGGCCCGGGCTCCGGGGCCGCCGAGTTGGAGGACCGTCCCGCCCGCCAGGCTGCGGGCACCGGGGCTGTGGGCGGCGGGCGGGTGGAGGGAGCCGCTCCCCGGCGCCGGGGCGCGCCCTCTCCAAGGCGCCTTTTTGGCTCAAACGAGGCCGGCGCGGGGGCGCGGGGGCGCGGGTTGTGCGCGTCTGGCCCTTTGGGGCTGGGAGTGGAGGGGTGAAGGGGTGGGTGGGGTGAGGGGGTGGCCGGCCCACTGCCCAGTTTGTGTTTTGAAACAGAAAACCGGGAGGACATCCTGAACGCCAGCGACAGGCTGACCGAGGTCCTGGAGGAGGCCAACACCCTGTTCACTGGAGGTGGTTTCTCCTTTACTTCCTTCTAGCGCCTTTCCCGCCGCCCCAGCTCTCTCTGCCCCTCCTTTCCCTGCGGCCTCTCTGCAAACCGGTCCCCGGACCAGCCTCTGGAAGCGGGGAGAGGCGGGGTCGGCCTGTCCCCATCCCGGGAGCATCCAGTGCTGCTGTGAACGTGGCCTTGGCCCTGGGCATCGCCCGGGGCTTCCTTTCCGCTCGGCCTTGGCTGTTTCCACCGCTTCCTTCCACACCCTCTCCACCCCCGGGGCCCAGAGCCCACCCTCAGCCCGCTGCCCTCTGGTCGCTCCCCTCCTCGCCCCAAGCTTCCTCCTGTCTCCCTCCCATTCTCCTGTCTCCTTTTATTTAAATTGCTCACTGTAGCTTGTATTTTTAAAAATGTACATTTTATTGATTTCAGAGAGGAAGGGAGAGAAAAACATCAATGATGAGAATCATGGATCAGCTGCCTCTTGCACGCCCCCTACTGGGGATGGAGCGGGAACCCAGGCATGTGTCCTGATTTGGAATCAGACCCTGGCCTCCTGGTTCCTAGGGGGATTCTCAACCCCTGGCCCACACGGCCGGCATCCATCCCATGTCCTCTGTCCCATTTTTTTGGATCGTCCGTCCTGAGAGGTCACTGCTCGCCACCTGCAGGGTGCCGCTGAGATGCCCGGCCCTCACCCTGTTTCAGCCCAGGCTCCTTGACCACTACGGCTTGCCAGTCAGCGTAGTGGGCCCAGCCAGCGCGCAGTGGGCGTGCAGTCTGACCTGGCCCTGCCCACTGATGACAGTGGCAGGCTGGGTTGTTGGAGTCGGGAAAGCCCTCTGTGAAGCAGCTTTGTTAGACCGCGGTGATGGAAGGTGGAGGTCCCGGAGTAGAAGGGGGCGGCTGGCTGTCCGGACGCTGGTCGGTTTGCTTCCAGAGCGGAGAGCTGGAGCGGCCGGCGTTTGCAGCGAGACCAGTGGGGGGATCGGTGGGCAGTGCTGTGCTGGCTGCAGACGCAGGGGCCTCACGGGCGCACAGTGTGACTAACGCTGTCTCTCCTGAACAGTGTCCCGAGCCCGGGAAGCCGTGCTGGACGCCCACTTCCTGGTTCTGGCTTCCGATCTGGGCAAAGAGAAGGCCAAGCAGCTGCGTTCCGACCTGAACTCCTTCGACATGCTGAGATACGTGGAGACTCTCGTAAGTTCAGAGCGACAGGATCTTTAAAGAAGGCTTTGTCATCCAGTTGTCTGCCCTGCTTCTGTCCATGGCAGGTAGCTGTCACTTCAGAGCTATCACTCCGTGAGACTGATGGGAGGGCTGGGCTGGGCTGGGCCGGGCCTGGGCGGGAGCTCGGAGCAGCTGGGAACTGGGCTGTCCAGGCCCAAATGGCCACTCTGTCTCCTCAGTCCCGCCAGCTCATTAAGTTTCCAGTTTATTCTCGGTGACTGGGACCTTTGCCCAGGACTGCAGGGGTCAGGACTGGGGGGTGGGTGTTAGTCTGAGAAGATACTTCAGCACCACATGGATACAATTGGGATTTTTTCGTTTGTTTTTGGTGGGGTTCTTCCCCCCCTGCCCCGTTTTTTGTTTTGCTTTGCCTCTTAATGAGTTTGAGTGGCTGTTGTTACCTGAGATGGTAGCACTTAGCACTTCTCCGTGACGGATCTGCCCCACAAGCACAGCCAGACCTTCTGTCTGCTGTTCTTTTTTTATCCTGCTCCGTGCTCACCTCTGCCCAGCGTCCCTGCTGGGACAGTGACCTTCCCCATGGGTATTTTAAATGTCATTACGTGATTTAGTGTCATGAGATCTGACCAGATAAATTCATTGTTTGTGAAGGTCTGAGGTGTTTGTTGTTCTTAAAACCTTAGGATTTAAAAAAAAAAAAAATTAAATACTTAAAACTTCAAATCTTACATTTTTCTGTTTTTTAAAAAACCTTTTATTTTGAAGTTCGTGTGTTTCTTAAAAGGCACACTCAAGTACCACTCAGGAAAGTGACCTGAGGTTGGGTCATCTTTTTTACAAATTACTTTTATCAGGATGGAGCTCCGTACTTCAAATAGCACGTCAGAGTAAGCCCCAGACGTCTGAAAGCTTCCCATGAAAGCCCTAGACTGACAGTGTCCGGCGTCCATGTGGGGAAGACCTCCCGCAGTGGGACACCACGTGCAGAGCCGATCGCGGTGAAGGAAGGTGGCGTGTGCGCTGGCGCCGTGGCTTAACCGTGTCCCTTCGTCCTGCAGCTGACGCACATGGGCGTGAACCCGCTGGAGGCCGAAGAGCTGGTCCGCGAGGATGACAGCCCGGACTTTGAGTTCATCGTCTACGACTCCTGGAGAATATCAGGCAAAACGGCAGAAAACACCTTTAATAAAACCCATACATTCCACTTCCTGTAAGGCCCTTTTCAAAACCCGAGGGCCAGCCTCTGGCAGACCGTGCGTGTGTTTGAATGTAGGGCAGGAGCTATTGATGCTACAGAGGTGACGCCCGGGAGCCATTGTTTAGACTGTCACTGGCTGGAAAGCCCGCAGAGTCTGGTGTGGGTTTAGCTGCGGCAGGAAAGGCTGAGGGCAGGACCTGGTGGGGAGGGAGCCTCCAGCCCAGGAGTCCGGCCGCTCTGTCTCCTCCGTAAGGTCCTGTGAGGGACACGATGCCTCTCACAGCGCTGTGAGTAGAACACGTGTGAAGTGCGTGTCACACGCTTCCTCTCAGATGGGCACTGTCCTGTTGGAAGGCTGTTTGAGTCACGCCATGTGACCGGCCCGGTTCAGTTTAGGATACAGCTCTGACGTTGAAGTTTTTCTCTCTCCCTGAATGCACTCGTTTCTGTCTTAACTTCCTGCTCAGCCCGCACCGGAGGGCTCTCTGCCAGACGAATGCAAAGGGGGACCTTGTTCCCGGAGGCGCCTTCCCCAAGCCCCCTTACCCCCCCATTTCCTCCTCATGAGGCGGGGTCTGGGCGTCTGTCCTGAGTCCTCAGAACCTGGAGGCTGTGTGTCCGGCAGCAGGCGGAGGGCCGGGTGGGTCTGCATGGGACAGGCCCTGCTCTCTGAGAGGAAGGAGGTTGGGCCTTCGCCGCGGGATGGAGTCCAGGTCTCTGCTGCTGAGGGCTAGGCTCTGTCACTCCTGGGTGTGCACTGGCCTGGGCAGTGTCGCCCTTTAGTCACAGGCTGGCCGGCGCCTGCTGCAGCGCCCTGCACAGCCCTGTGCCCGCCACGGCTCTTCCCTGGCCTCATGTCCTCCCACCCCCCAGCGGGAGGCTTGTTCTCACCCCAACCCGGGAGCCTGCAGGACCTCCTCCGCTGAGCTGTGACTGTAGGGCCAGTGTCCCCCCCAGGGGTGCTCTGTCCCCACGTGGGACCCACAGTGCACGAGACACCTGCCTACGCTGTCCTTTGGTTGCTCAAGTGCAGGGGCCACGGGGGTCTGAACTCTTGGGGGCTTGGCCTCTGTGTGATGTATGTGTTGCTGTAGCTTCCGTCTGCGTGGGCCTTCTGGGAAGTAGTGGGACAGGAAGCCCGTGGTCTCTGCTCCAGCCGTTAGCCTGACAGTGTGCTTGGTCCCATGTGCTCCTCCCCGCACGCCCGTCCGAAGGCTCGTACCCCTTCCACACGTGCTCACCCTTCCCGGCTCTGCCGGAGTCTGCCAGACAGCAGTCGTGCAGGACCAGAGCAGGGTCAGGCAAACCGCGCAGGCGAGGAGGCGAGGAGGGAGCCAGGCGGAGCAGGAGGGGGGGGGGAGCGGGGCAGGAACGTGTCAGGCCAGGCCTGGTCTGGGCGCTCCCGCCTCGCCGATGCCGGTCTGGTCTGAGCCCGGCGGATGGCTCTCAGGAGTGAGGCAGTTCACTTAGAAAGGAACCAAAAAAGACCCGAGCGCCTTCCCCATAGGCTGGGCTCCATCCAGGGAGAGTGCCCCGTGCCGAAGCCGCGAGCCGAGCGCCCCAGGAGGATCTGCGCGTCGGAGAAGGAGCGGGAGATGCCCGTCCAGGTTTGTCCTAATCGAGCTTTTTAACAGCACCTGACGTGGAAATAGCCATTGGTGCAATGGGCATGAAGTTTGGCCACCTCTTCTAGCCGTTAGGGTCTGGAGTCACTTAAATAATCCTGGTATTTGAGCCTCTGAACCTTTTATTGGATTGACCGTCTGTCTTAGTCTTACCACAGCCGGTACTTCAGGTCCGTCCTAAGCCGGGATTTCTCAGCATCCACTGCCAGCAGGTGGGGGGAGAGTTCCTTTCCAGGGTCTGTCTGCTGCATTGGGATGTTTGGCAGCATCCTTGCCTCTTCCCCGGGGATGCCATAGCATCCTCCCCCCCCCCCCCCCCCCCCCCTGTGGTGGCAGCCACATCCTGGCACCTGTGCCCAGAGGCCAAACTACGCCCAGGTGTGACCGCTGTTCTGAAGTCCCCTTTGGGATGGGTATTTACGTTCGGCCTGAAGGTTGGTTTGGTCACGTTACTCCCTGATAAGGGATTGATGGGGAATGTTCCTGCGAAGCTCTGTGAGCTCTAAGACGGCGATAAGCACAGCTAGCCGGGGGAGACGCGGAGAGGAGTCACGTGGGGAAGGGCAGGAGGCTCGCTGCGGTCAGCCGGCTTGACGAGGACTTTGTTTTCAGCTGAAAAGAATGGAGGAATCGCAGCAGGAAGCCACGGAAAAGGAAGTGGAGAGGATCTTGGGGCTGCTGCAGACGTACTTCCGGGAAGATCGTGAGTATGATGCCGAGCTCCAGGGGAGCAGTCTGTTTGGGAGGTGTGTCCACTTCACCAAGAAGCTGTTTTTACTTAAAAGGCATTTTCTCTCCTGTTTTTATCTTTGCTGTTGAAAGGATTACCCATGTCCCCCTCTTCCCCCATTGACCCCTTCTCGCCGCCCTGTGAGAGGCGTGTGGGAGATCCTTTTGGCATACGTGTATAGTGAGGCTCCTCCCTTTAGAAGTTCCACCGAGAATGCTGGTGAAGTAACTTTTTTCTCTTTAAAAAATGGGTGTTTTTCTGTAAAAAATAAAACGTGACACAGATGTGAAATGAGTCCGTGGTACCCATCCCACTGCTCCTCACTCCCGGAGCAGTCACCTGCAGAACGTGCTGGGTGGATCCTCACATGGTCTCAGTCAGCCCAGTCCTACGAATAGGCACGCAGTAGGATGCTTTGTGGGGTTTTCAAAGCTGATCACAATGCACACGTTCTGCAGCATTGTGGACACGTTCCTCTCAGTGCACAGGGTCCCCTCAGTCCTGTCCGTGGTCCCCACGTATGGCTGTGTCATAGACACCTTGGCCAGCCCCTCTGCAGCAGGCGAGTGAGTCCCTTACAGCCTTCACTCCCTGAAAATGGCGAGAGTGAAGAAGCGGGGCCTGACTTTGTCCTCAGATGCTAATATTTTTGTAGGACAGCTTTTGGGGGTGGGGAGCGGGCCCACAGGCCATGCCTGGTTTTAACAGATTTGCCAAACTGCCCCCAGAAGGGTTGTGTCTGTCACGCCCCACAGCAGGCACTGACGTGGGGCTTAGTGTGATTGGCAGCCACGCCCCATCCTGAAGAATCTCTCCTCTGTCTGCAGCTGACACTCCCATGTCCTTCTTTGACTTCGTGGTCGACCCACATTCCTTCCCTCGAACAGTGGAAAACATCTTCCATGTCTCCTTCATCGTAAGGGTAAGACTGTTTCTCTAATTGCTTTTATGAGTTTTTAAGAGAGAAATAATAACAGCAGTGGAGGGAGCTGGCAGAAGGGTTTGTACCAAGCAATGTGAATGCAGACCCGTTGTCGAAAATAGGAACTGACCTGGCGGCAGAAACAACGGCTAAAACAGGTTCAAAGTTTAGGTGCTTGCTTTCCCATTTGTAATTTTAGTGAAAGGATTGGCAGAGTGTGAGCGTGGAACTATGGGTAGAGCGCTCTGTGGTGACCCCGGTACACGCCCTGCATGCGAGAGCTGTCATGTCATGTAAGAATCTCCGTGTCTCTGGTCGCCTCGGGAGGGCCAGGGGCCTGTCCGTACTCTCCTAACAGCTGGTGATGTGCGAGGCGGGCCGAAGGAGGCTTATGGCTGTGGGCGCCCTGGATTACTTGTCTTTTCCACATAAACACTGCAGCCTGCTTTTGCCCATCCGGTGTCTACAGAGAGTGACGAAGTGGGTGTAGTGGAGTGAGGGGCAGGGAGGAGGTCTTACAGCAGTCTGTAGCTCTGAGCAGGAAGTTATTCTAAAGTAGGTAAAGTGCTATGGAGATCAGACTGTCTTTGCCTTGTCAGATTGCTGTCCAGCACGTGTAAGATGAATGTGATCTTAACCTGAGACAGAAATCTTGCATTAACTAAAGTTTCCCCAGATATGGTATCAGGCATATTTTGTCAATGGTAAATGATAGAATTATGCACAAAACATGTGAGTATGCAAAAAATACACATCGGACAAAGAGGCAGACAGTTCAGTTCACGAGGCCCTGGGGCGGAGGCGTGTCGGGTAGGAAAGCTGAGAGGCCGGGAGATGTGGAAAGAAGAACGTTCTGGTCTTGTCCATGTACTCGCCTCACTGATCTTACAGTTCCCTGTCTGAGATATAGAACTTTCTGAGTAATTTTTTTATCCAGTGGCTATGGGCTCTAAATTGTAGTCTTCTAAAATCATTTTTTTGTGTGTGTTTTAGGATGGTTTTGCAAGAATAAAACTTGACCAAGACCGACTGCCAATAATAGGTAAATGATCCTATGTTCAGAAAAGTTAGTTTTAGAGAAGATTTATTTGGTACTAGAGTTTATGCATTTTACTAAATGTGAGGGAGTTCTCACTTAGGAAACAAACTCTTGTCATGCTGCATCTTGCTCAACCAACTGAAAATACTGAAAACATGGCCAGTTTAAAACAGTGGGTTCACCTGTATCATTGATTTGGTTCAACATCTAGTCCTGTCAAGATGAACAAGAAATCATATAATTTCCCTCAAATTCTAATTTAGAAAGTCGGTAATTGCAGTTATTTTTGTAGTTTCTTTCTCTTTCCTCTTGATGCCAGCTCCTCCTCTCCCCGAGAGGATCTTTCACTCTTAGTTGAGTGATTGCTCCTGTTCAGGACTCGGGTAGAGTGAAGACCGCCAGGGCGCAGCTCTGTGGCTGCTACGCAGAGATGCAGGGTTTCCCTGCTGTAGGCTGCGTTACTTGACTGCATTTCTTTAATGGAAACGAAGGGATGGATGACTTGCTACTATAACAACGTTGTAACTCAGTGATGCAATCAGTAGGTAGTGTTAGGATCATCTCGATACCGGTTTCGTTCCTGTTACTCATCCATTCCTGTGTAGCTTACCTCTTCTGATTGAATAACCTTTGAAAACTTTTGTCTTTCAAACAGAGCCTGTTAATATTAATGAGGAAAGTGAGGGCATTGACCAAAACACCCAAATCAGGAATCAAGGGATTATAGCTTTGAGTTACCGCGACTGGGAGGTAAAGCTCCGCCATTGCCCACAGGTGGTCCCGCCTCGCCTCGCCCGCCCTTGCTCGTAAGCCCGGTGCCCACCTGTTCTTTGCTCTGCAGGAGATTGTGAGGACCTTTGAGATCTCGGAGCCCGTGATTGTCTCTGGCCCCAGCCAGCAGAGCCTGAGTGCTGACGGCAGCTGAAGGTAAGGCTCCTTGGGGCAACCGGGGCTTTTGGCACGCGCTCCTGGCATCCCACCTTCCTGTCGGGCCCGTTCTGGAGAAGTATGGGTCTTGCTGCTCATTGCCTCCCTGTGTTGGTGACAAAGGCCGGGCAGGCCCTGTGGCGGGTCCCCTCTTTGGACCGGTGGCCTTGCTGATCTTCAGGTGGGCCGAGGTAGAGGCAGAGCAGTGACCTCCTGCTTGGCTTTTTTAACCCTGCATGACACATCGGTACATCAGTGAATATGGAAGTCTCCCATCGGTCTGGTCCAGGGTCCCGTTAGGTTTGCTTACTTTGTGGGTGCAGAGCAGAAGAGGAGGATCACCTCAAAATGCAGTTAGGAAATGAGCGATGGGGTGAGGGAATTCTGCCTTTCTGTGAAGGAGAGCATTGCAGCATGCAGGCTCCGTGGTGACCTGGCTTCTGCAAGCAGCTGTGGGGGCCTTGGAGACCGGACTCCACCGGCTCCGCTCCTTTACGATGGCAGGCAAGTCACCTGCTCACACTCAGCCACAGTTGCCTTACCGACAGATCTATAAACCTGTCCCTGAAGTGGGAGGTTTCTTTTTCTAGCTCAAGTATTCTATGCTTTTGAGAGTTAAAATGTGCCTCAGTTAACTGAGCGGCTTTTGTTCTGGGATCCTGAGGGAGAGGGGAGTATGGACGGGGAGGTAGGTGTGTGATGGGTGAGCCGGGCCTAGGCACTGAGGAGGGCTAGCTGTTAGGCTGCATTCATGTAAATTAAGTCACCCTTTGATTTATAAACTGTTAACCAGCTATTTCCCCCTCCCCCTTTTAGGACTCAAATGGATAGTGACATCCAGAAAGGAGAACAGCATGCGTTGTATATATTGTATGATTGACATTTTTAAAGGCAGATTGTTTTTAGTAAACTGTAGCTTTTGATAGTTGATGGATTTGTCATGGTTGTCTTTGATTAAAGGAATTCACTGCCATGTTCACAAGTAGTTGTAATTCCTCTTTGTTCTGCTAGTTCCTTCTCCAGGCCCACGGGAAGTTCTAGTTCGGTAGGCAGTGGCCTACACATCATTATGGTCCTTGTTACAACCCGAGCTGTGATGTCAGCTGGTCAGGTCCACACTCTTAGGTGGTGCCACAGAAAGTAGTTTTGTTGCTAAAACGTGGTCAAGTATCAGCAATGTCACATGACTCAGCCCGATTTATACACAAGCAGCTCCTCCGTCCTCACCAAGCCAGGCTGTACCACCTTCCCAGCAAGCCAACCGTAGGTCTGTCTTGCCAATCCTCTGTCCACGAGACTACTGGCCACTAGAGGGAACCACACCCGGGCGGACACTGCTGCTCCAGGGCATGGTCTTTGCTGGGTCTTTGGGTCTGTGCCCAGTGGTCTGAGTCCATAGTGGGCTCCTTTTCCCATCCCACTTTCTGCATCAGCCCTTGCTCACTCCTCCCGTGTCACAGCTGGAGGGTCTGTCTGTGGAAGGCTCAGGGCGAGCTCCCCTGCTCCTCGGTCTCCGCCTTGCCAGTCATCCCTCTCCCTCTCCACACTCAGTGCTTTCCCCTCCACCATCTCATCTCATCTCATCTCAACAAAGTGACCAGGACCCGTAAGTTCCTGTCCTGTCTCCTCTGTAAGTAGGACCACTTTCAAAAGCGTCCAGTCCTAACCTTGGCCGCTCAGCACCTCCTCCCACCACTCTGCTGACGTTGGTCTAGGCCAGATTTCCCGGCGATTCCTTTCCAGCTAAGATCCAGTGAACACGTGCTGTGCGTTTGACACTTGAAAAGCGCTTCTCGAAAATCACATCCTTGTGTCTGATACTTCCCTGGTTTTCCTTCCACCATACACTCGTTTGATGGACACATCGCATCCTGAAGCTTCCCAAACGGACTGCACTCTCCACGCAGCTCCAGGAGCCGTGGCCGAGGCTCTGACATGCGGAGAACAGCCTGCCTTTCTGCCCACAGCCTGCTGGTGCTCTTCCCACTCGACTCCCTCGGGGGCTGCGAATTCTCTTCTTTACCCCACAGCCCCCCTCAATGGTCACTCCATTTCATCCCTCTGGTGCCTGCTTCCTGTCTGCCTTCAGATTTCTCCCTCGTCTTCCCACATGGGACTCCCCGTGGCCTCCAGGGTGAAAGGCCCGGGCTCCTGTGACAGCCTAGCCCCTCACGATTTGGGTTTCCGCCTGTTACCGGCTCACTTCCTCCTATAAAGCTAGTCCTTCGTCGTTAAACGGCCTGGATGAGAGGATGGCATGCCATTCCCCAGTGACAGTGCATTTCCCTCTTTGGTCTCCTCCCGGGGCTCAGTCACCCCGTCAGCACAGCCAGCCTCAGAACACTGTTACCCTGGCCCTCCTCACCCTCAGCCCTGACCCCCGCTGACCCACTCTGTCTCTATGTCTGTTTCCATCTTCAGGAATTTGCCAGTTGTGGACATTTCACGTAAACAGAATCACGTGTGTGGTCTTAACATAATTTTTTGGCTATTGCCTTCCCCATCCCCTTCATTTCCATTCTGCTTGTTTCAGACACTCCCCACTAAGAGACGTGAGTGGCTACTTTCTTCAAACCAAGGTGGAAAAGCTGCTACTTGGCATTTCGTGCCTTTTGGTAATGACCGAGTTTCCTAACCATGTACTTTCTCATTGTTTTTAAAAGTTGTCAACAGAAGTTACCTGGGCAGATTGATTAGGGACCACTTTTTCGTCTTTCAACTTCTAAGTTGAAAAACAAAACAACTGATGGATGCCATCTTTTAAAAAGCAAACTGAGGTAACGCCTAAAGCCTTTTTCCCTCCAGAATTTGAATAGCACCTGTTCTTGCCTTAGTCACCTGTTTGTGCCACCCTGTTCACCGCACCCCTTTCCTGTGGGACTCTCCCAGGCCAGGGCTGTGCCCTCCTCTGTGCGCACGGTGGCTGCTGGGGTGCAGGCCGCTCTCCTCACTGCCCTGCTGCCTGAGGCACTCCTGTCCCGGTGCATCCTCAGGCTCCAGGCCCCATCCATTATACCCTCCTCCCTCATCCCTGTTCTCCCACTAGAGCTTGTGCTGCAGAAGTGGAGGTGTTCTGCCTTGTTCCTTCTGTGGGTGACGTGAGATAAAAATGTGCTGCACACGTTAGAGAGGGAGAGCCTGTTTCCTCCCTTCAGTCTGGGCTGGCATGCCACCTTGTTGAGCAGCACCGTCTGGCAGAAGGGATGCTTCGAGGCCAGGTCCGGAGAAGCCTTGTAGAGTTGGGCAGGCCTGTCAGAGCCCTGAATCACTGTAATAAGTTCAGCCACCACGAGGCCCTGCATCTACACAGGATGGGACGGAGGGAGAGGATTAGCCCAGCTACTCAGCCTTCTGGCCGTTCCTGCCAAGGGCCTGTAGGGGACGCATGGGCCCTCCAGACTAGCCCAGCCATCACCTGAGTGTCCCCAAGTGGCTCCGGTGGGGCTCCAGGGGCAGAAACTTGCCCAGCTGAGCTCTGCTTGAATTCTTGATGCAGAATTGTGAGCTATAATATCGAATAAGATGATGGTTTTAGGTCAAGTTTTGTGTTTATGATTTAACTCCTTCCCCCCTCCCTCCATTTTGACGCACTTGGAAACAAAACTAGGATATGGGGTTTTACTGCACTAAAACTGTGCACGTATGCTGCCTAAAAAAGAAATACAGTTGTCTAGAAAGCTTTGATTTTATTTTCTAGTTGACTCCTCAGAAATGGTGGTATCCTCAAGAGCTGTCTTCGAAGTGGTTTTTTACTGCTGCTCTCTCCTCCGGACTTCTGCATCAGGATGGTCACTTCCAAGGGAGGCTGGATGAGGGGGTAGGCTGTGACCCGCTTAAACTCCTTCACTTCCTCTTTCCTCACCTGAGGCTTTAGGGAAGGAGGAGCCTGGGCGCCCAGTTTCTGAGCCTCTCGTTTTTTACTTCTTTGCTCCGTAAATTCTCGCCCTCGAATCATGCGATCTCGATGTCTCTGCATCTGCTCTTGCACCCAGGCCACCTGGTGCTGTCTGGTTTTAGCTTTGGGTCTTCTCTGGATGTTTTCCGTCTGTTCATCCTCCAGGGTGAATGTTCTGGGGGTAAGTATCTCACGTGGGCTCTTCTGAGGAAGCAGCTGATACTTGTGGTCTCGGAGGCCTCTAGCTCGCTCTGCCCGGTGGATGTGTTTCTTTATCTGGTCCAGCTCCTTCTCAGACACTAGATAGTCCCATCTTTTAGCACCATCTGATTTTTCAGTTTGTATTCTGTTTTCCTCTCCCTTTGTGTCCAAGTCCTCTTTTGGAACCATAATGTATTCCCAAGCATCTTCCAGCATTTCTTGATGTTGTTGACAGTAGTGCTCCTCCACTTTGGCAAACCACAAGTCAAAGACAGTTTATGTTTATGAAGTGTTTTTCTCTCCTGCTGAAACTGGACTGTTTCCTCACGTCTACAGAATGGACGCCACCCAACCGCTGGTCAGAGGGACGTATCGGAACTGTTTAAGTCGGCTGCTCTCTGTCATAGTCCATGGCACGGATCTCAAGTGGCAGCCAGCCCGGCCTGGCACTCCCACACCATGCTCACTCGGTCTCTTCGCTGCGTCCGGTCCTGCTCTTCACCCGCCTCTCCCCTCCTCAGGGTCCCTCCTAGTTGAAGCCTTGGCCTTAGACTTCCTCGAGGAAACAGAAGCAGTCACTCAGGAGCACCCTCCCCCCACAGCCACCACCACATTCTCCCAGACCCGTCTTCCAACACTGCCCTCCTAGGCCAAAGCCAGCCTTGCACCTGTGCTCCCTGAGCCTCCAGAGCTTCATTTGCAAATGCTCAAGTTCCCTTTCCTGCTTCAGCAAAACGTCCGCTACTGGGTCACCCGTCAGCGTGACGCTAGCCTGCCTCGCCTTTGGACAGAAGAAGAACCTTCTGGACCACCTCCTCTGCAGCCTCCGCTGCCTTTGCTCCCCTCCACAGCGCGACTTGAAGCACTTACCTACGACCCCCTCTACTTCCCCGCCGCTTATGTTGCTCTCAGGCCTCTATGGCTGGGTTTTTGGCCCCACTCTAGGTCACAGGTGACTGCCACCGGACAGATTCGGTGCTCCCACCCCTGTCTTGTCACACTGACCTCTCAGCAGCTTTCTCTGGAGGTGACCATGCTCCTCCTTGAAATTCTTTCCTTCTGGCTTCCAGGCTGTGGACAAGGGCATGTGACTGAGGCTAGCTTGCATCCCTCCCTCTCCCAGCTATTAGCTGAGTGTCCCTAAGTGACTGACTAACCCTCATTCTCTTCCAACTTCACGGCCATTCCCTCCACCTGCGTTGCTGGTTCTGTCTTTCAAATGGGATGCCGGGAGGAGAGCAGAGAAATTGTCACCGGAGGTAGAGCAATCACAGAGAGGGCTGCTGGGAAGGGACGGTCTAGAGTAGGGGTGTCGAACTCAATCAGAGAAGGGGCCAAAATCTAAAATCCAGCCTAAATCGAGGGCCGAATGGTTTACTGAACAGTCATAAACTGTCATTGTGATGGAAACGCAGCGGAGTGCAGTGATGACAGTGCGGTGCGGGCCACATTGCAAGGCCTGGCGGGACAGATTTGGCCCACGGGCCTTGTGTTTGACACATGTGGTCTAGAGCATGAACCAGGTGGCCTCACAGGGGTCCAGCTCGAGGGGGAAGAGGAATGGACAAGGCTGCTGTGCCCGCCTCAGCCTCAGGCCTCATACCCTTTACTTGTCTCTCCCTGCAGAGTGTTGTCTTCAGTCTGCTCTTCTCAGTCCTATCACTTCTAACAGAACACCCCGCCCTGGCGTGGCGGCCTCCCTGGCTTCCCCGACCCCACACTTCTCTCCCTCTGCCCCAGCCGTGTCTACAGATCTGAGATCTACAAGGTCACTTTCCTGCCTTGACCGTCGGAGTGGTGCTCTAATCTGGTCCCTGATCGCCTCTCAGTCACGGATCGCTCCCCTGCCGCAGCCACACGACTTCCTGTTCCTCAAGAGCCATGCTCTTCCCCATCCGACTCCTTCCACCTGTTTTCCCTGCAGTCACACACGAGCTCGCAGGTCTGACTGCGGCACTTACACCTGTCACTTCTAGGTTTCAGCTTACCCGTCACTTCCTCAGACCTTCCGCATGCGCATTCAAATATAACCCCATCCTTTCATGACACTTAAGAGTTGCGGTAACAACACGCTTTATGTCGTGGTCCCTCACTCGCCAGCCCAGGGAGGACACAGGCCTGCAGTGGTGCTCAGTGAACCAACAGGACAGGCAGAGCCCCAGGCCCTTTTCACCTTGGTGATAACTATCACTGTGTTACTGGCTCCCAAATTCATGGTAAAAGTATTTCCTCACCTTAATCTTCTTTTCTAGTGGGGACTAGGAACCTACTGCAATTCGAGGATCTTGAGTTCTTTTGGCCCAGGCCAATCTAGAAGATCAAAAAGAGAAGTTATGCTAGATTTGGAGAAGGGACTCGGGAAACAGGCTCCAGCGTGAGTTGTTTCGGGAATTGATTTGGGACTGACTTTTCATGTTTCTCTTTCCCTCTCCCCTATTTCTAAAAAAATTTTTTAAGAAAAAAGTTATAAAAGTAAGTACGGATATTTTATGCTTAAATGAAAGAATTTCAAATATTAAGTTATGAAAGTGGTTCCTATTTCATAGAAAGAACTGAATGGAAATTTCAATCTGCGTTTTAATCACTTGTTTCCTAAACCCTAAAAGATACTGTAATTTGCCATTCAGATGTCAAATTCATGTGATATTAATTCGGTCAAAACTGTTACAATACCTAGATGTGACTGCATCATCCTACCATACAAGTGCCTAATACAGGACAGGCACACCTCATTTTAGTGTACTTCACAGGTGTGTTTTTGTACGAACTGAGAGGAAGACCCTCCACTAGCAAAAGACTCAGACTTGCTTTATGACGGTGTCTGGAACCTTACCAGTGTCGGAGGTGTGCGTGCCTGTGCCGACTGTGAGCCAGGCACTGTGTGAAGTGCTAAAAGGCTCCTGTGAAAGCAGAATAAAAGTCTTTGGTTTGACCAAGAGAACTATGCATTTCTTTTTTATATACATATATTTTTATTGATTTCAGAGAGGAAGGGAGAGGGGGAGAGGGATAGAAACATCAATGGTGAGAAGCATTGATTGGTTGCCTCCTGCATACCTACAACCTGGGCATCGAGCCCACAACCTGGGCATGTGCCTAACTGAAGTCGAACCCGGGACCCTTCAGTCCGCAAGCCAATGCTCTATCCACTGAGCCAAACCAGCTAAGGCAAAATATGCATTTCTTAATTAGAGCCTCTCTTTAAAGAATCAGCTTAATGAAAATAAAACTTATATAAAGAGAATCACTTGGACTGAAAAGTACTTGTCACTTAAATACTATGTTGTACATTGTTTCTCTTTCGTGAGAAGAGAAACTGGGAGGATAAAGAATGTTTATAAGCCGGGGAGATAAAGAATATTTTTGATAAGCAAATCAGGTTGAAACAAATTGAGCAAGACTAGACTTTGCCCTAACATGAGCAAAAGATGGCTTGAGTTGTTTTTCAATGATAAATGTAAAAAGAACTTTACCATATTTTATCACATACAGTATTTTATCATATACCTAATTTTAAATCTTTGTCAGAAATCATGAAATAGATTTAAATACTTATGAGAAGTCCTGCCTGGGAAAGATGATGATTCCTGAACCAATATTAATATGTTATTATTAACCAAAGCCTGTAGTTTAAGATTCACTCGTGTTGTACATCCCATGAGTTTTGACAAGTTTATGACAGGTTCCCATCATTATAATTATACAGATCTCCTGGCCATTTCTTTTCTTTTTTAAAAAAATATATTTTATTGATTTTTTACAGAGAGGAAAGGAGAGAGATAGAGAGCTAGAAACATCGATGAGAGAGAAACATCGACCAGCTGCTCTTCTTGCACACCCCTACCGGGGATGTGCCCGCAACCAATGTACATGCCCTTGACCGGAATCGAACCTGGGACTTTTCAGTCCACAGACCGATGCTCTACCACTGAGCCAAACCGGTTTTGGCTCTCCTGGCCATTTCTAATTGGGTTTTTATTATTGCTGAGAACTGCAGTTGAGGTTTTATTTATTTATTTGCTTAGGATCATTTTCATTTCTGTGGAAGGTTAAGGTCTGTGCTTACCTTACTTTGCATGTGGATCCCAGTTGTTGCAACACCATTTGTTGAAAAGACCATCCTCTCACTAGTGACTTCCCTTTGCTCCTTATCCAAGATCAGCTGACTGTGTATGGATCTGCTTCTGGGCTTTGTGCTCTGTTCCCTTGTCTATGCCTGTTCTTTCTCCACCGTGCGATCACTCTAGTTTCAAAGTTTTAAGGTCTGGTAGTGTCAGTCCTCTGACTTTTTCTCCTTTAACACTGTTTTAGTTATTCTGAGTATTTTGCCTCTCCAGATAAATTTCAGGATCCTTTTGTTAAGATCCACAAATAACTTGCTCAGCTTTTGATTAGGATTCATTGACTCGAAAGAGCAAGTTGGGAAGAAATGACATCTTAACAATATTCATCTTCCTATAAATGAGCATGGATTATCTCTTCATTTATTTATACCTTTGATTTCTTTCATCTGAGTTTTGTAGTTGTCCTCATATACTAGGTGTATCGGTTAATAATGCGGATATTGTAATTAAAGAAAACACGATAATTTCAAGAGAAACATTGAAAGTGCTTTATTCAAAATAATGTCCATTGCTAGCTACACGGTAATTTATGGATACCGTCCCAACAGAATTTTTCTTGTTTGGAGGCAAATCATTCAGTGACCCAATTTTCCACTTCATGTATTTTGAGGTGCTGCTCAGAAAGTGCATGTGCCATCGATCAGAACAAGTGGTCATCAGAAAGAGCAAGATCTGGTGAATACGGTGGGTGGGTTAATACTTCCTTGGTTTTGAAGTGTGTGATGGTGCGTCATCATAAAGCAAAATTACTTTGCCGTGTCTCCTGGCACATTCTGGTCATTTTATCACCAAAGTGTGATTCAAATTAATAATTTGTTGTCGGTAGTGATTAGTATAAACGTTTCACCTGGTTGTAGAAGCTAATAATATAGCACACCTTCCTGATCCCACCAAACGCAGAGCATTGTCTTCTTTCCGAAGCGATTTGGCCTTGCAGTCGATGTTGATGGTTGACCTGGATCAACCCATGATAATGTGCATTTGGAATTCTTAAATTCACTTTTCATCACCAGTCACAATTCCATGCAAAAAAGACTTTCTTTTGTGCCGTTGAAGCAACATTTTACTGATGACTTTTCGGTTTCCCATGTGTCTTTAGTTCAGTTGATGTGGCACCCATTTCCCTTCCTTTAAAATTGTCCCCATTGCTTGTAAATGATCAGAAATTGTTTGCTGAGCAACGTTTAATCTTTCTTATGTTCACCATAAGCTTCCTGAAGTATTATACTCAGCAGCACCTTTCTTCAAAATAATGAATTAAAACTTCCTGCAAATGCTTTTTGGCACAGAATTCGACATTTTTAAGGAAAAATATCTATAATGTTAACACTTTTCAGAAAATTTGAAGTTTTGAAGCTTGTCAATACAACAAAATAGCATATATATCAACATATGTGTAACTCCATCTATTGAAAATAATCCACATTAACCTGTATACTTAGTACCGTGGTTGGCAAACTACAAGCCACATGCGGCTCTTTGGCCACTTGAGTGTGGCTCTTCTACAAAATACCATGGCTTGGGTGAGTCTATTTTGAAGAAGTAGCGTTAGAAGAAGTTTAAGTTTAAAAAATTGGCTCTCAAAAGAAATTTCAATCATTGTACTATTGATATTTGGCTCTGTTGACTAATGAGTTTGCTGACCATTGACCTAGTAGATTTTGTACATATTGTGTTAGATTTATACCTAATTATTTCTTGTTTTTTCCTGGTGCTAATGTAAATGGTATTGTTTCTATTGTAGTTTCAAATTCCAATCAACATTGTATCTTGCAACCTTGCTATCATTGATTAGTTCCAAGATACTTCTATTGATCCTTTGGGATTTTTCATTTGGCCAATTATGTCATTTGTGAATGACAATTTTATTTTTTCCTTCCCAATATTATACCTGTATAAAAGGTATTATTCCTTTTATTATTTATTGCATTAGCCAGGAGTTCCAGTTTGATGTTGAATAGGAGTTATGAGGGGACATCCTTTCACTGTTCCTGATCTAACCAAAAAAGCATCTAGTTTCTCCCCATTAAGTATGATGTTTGCTGAGATTTTGTAATGAATGGCTGTTGGATTTTGTCAAATGCTTTTTCTGCATCTACTGATATGATTTTCTTCTTTAGCAATTAAATTAATTGCTTTTCTAAGGTTAAACCAGCTTTGCTTAACTGAAATAAGTCCTACTTGGTGGTGGTGTATAATTCTTTTATACAGTGTTTGATTCCATTTACTATTTCATTGAGGATTTTTACATCTGTGTTCACTAGAGATATTTGTTTAGTTTTCCTTTCTTGTAATGTCTTTGGTTTTTGTATTGGGGTAATGCTGGTCTCATAAATTAGTTAGAAAATTCTCTCTTCTGCTATTTTCTGGAAAAGATTGTAAAGTTGGTAGAATGTCTTCCTTAAATGTTTGATAGAATTCATCAGTGAACCCATCTGGCCTGGTGCCTCTTTCATAGATCATTATTGATTCCATTTCTTTAGACATAGGCCTATTCAAATTATCCACTTCTGTGGAGTTTGGTAGATCAGCTTTCAAATAATTGATTCATTTCTTCTAGGTTATCATACATATGGACTTAGAGTTGTTTGTACTATTCCTTTATTAGCCTTTTAATGTTTATAGGATCAGTAGTGATGGTCCTTCATTCATTTCTGACATTGATAATTTCTAGTTTTTTTCTTGAGACCCGGTGCGTGAAATTCGTGCACTTGGGGGGGTGGGGTTTGTCCTCAGCCCGGCCTATATCCTCTCCCAGTCCAGGAGCCCTTGAGGGTTGTCTAACTGCTGTGGAGACAGGAGAGGCTCCTGCCACCATTGCTGCACTTGCCATCCATGAGCTTGGCTTCTAGCAGAGTGGTACTCCCCACGGGAGTGCACAGACCACCGGGGGGCAGCTCTTACGTTGAGTACCTGCCCCCTCGTGGTCAGTGCACATCATAGCAATCGGTCTTTCCACTATTTGGTCAATTTGTGTATTTGCCTTTTATCATATAGGATTAGACTTACTAGAGTTTTACCAACTTTATTGGTCTTTTCTTTATTGATTTCCTATATTTATTCATTTATTTTTGCTTTTTGTTCTTTGCTTATTTTGGATTTAATTTGCTCTTCTTTTTCTAGTTTCCTAGGGGCTTAGATTTGAGATTTCAATTATATGCATTCAGTATTATAGATTTTCCTCTAAGCACTGCTCTTGCTGTATTCCACATTTTAGTAAGTTGTATTTTCATGTTCATTTAGTACAAAATATTTCTCAAGTTCTCTTGAAACTTCTTTGACTCAAGTGTTATTTAGAAGTGTGTTGTTTAATCGCAAGCATTTTGGTATTCAGCTGTTACTAGTTTTATTCCATTGTGATCTGAGAGCATACTTTGTATTATTTCTATTCTTTTAATTTAAGGTGTTTATGACCCAGAATATGGTCTGTTTTGGCCAATGTTCCATGTGAGCTTAGAATAAAATGTATTCTCCTATGTTCAATAAACTATTCTGTGGATGTCAAGTTAGATCCAGTTGATTGATGGTATTTACTTTCAATTATGTCCTTATTGAGTTAATGCCTAATGGATCTGAATTACTGAGAGTGGTGACATTTCTATTAGTGAACTCATCATTTTCTCCTAGCAATTCTATCAGTTTTTGCCTCACATATTTTGCCACTCTGTGGTAAGTGCATATACATTAATGATTGTTAGGTATTCTTGTAGAATTGATCCCTGTATTATGTATGCACCTTTTTATCCCTAATTTTCCTTGCTCTGATGGTTTCCATTGTCTGAAATTAATGTAGCTACTCCAGCCTTGATTAGTGTTAACAATATATCTTTCTCTGCCTCTTTTATCTGTTTATAAATTTAAATGGGTGTTTTGGGTAGATAATATATAGTTGGGCCTTTTTAAAATCTAGTCTTATAGTCATTTTATTAATATGTTTAAAGTGATTGAAAATCAATTGGAAGAATTAAAAACAAAGTTAACTGTCTGTTACTGGCAATTTTAAAATAAAAAGAAATTATATTAGTGCTGCCACCCTACCCCGCAAGAAGGGGGAAACTAAATGAAGGTTTGTATTTTCTCATTTGGGCCTCAAAGATGAAAACTGTCTTTGATCTTTAGCAAAATAAAGATATTCAGGAACTGCTGTCCTACTTAAGTCCAGACATATCTTTTCCTCTTCAATTCACTTTAACCACCTTTTCTTCCTCCTGTCTTTAATTAGTTGTATGACCCTGGGCAAGTTATTTAGCCTCTCTGGTCTGTTTTCTTTTCTTTCTTTTTTTTAAAAATATATTTTTATTGATTTTGTACAGAGAGGAAGGGAGAGAGATAGAGAGTTAGAAACATCGATGAGAGAGTCATCGATCAGCTGCCTCTTGCACACCCCCTACTGGGGATATGCCCGCAACCAAGGTACATGCCCTTGACTGGAATCGAACCTGGGACCCTTCAGTCCCCAAGCCGACGCTCTATCCATTGAGCCAAACCGGTCTTGGCTCTGGTCTGTTTTCTATGCTGTGAACTGTAAGGATCAAATGAGTAAAACATATGCCTAGGACTTTGGACATTATCATTATTCAAGACTTGGGGTATGCCCTGGAGTGCCCTGGCTGGCGTTGGTTTAGAGTGTGGGATAAGGTTGGGCAGAAGTGAAGTGGGACAAGAATGTAAGACTGAAAAGCCCCAGATCTCCTCCTTTGTCTTGAGCATGGCATTCTGCTGTTACATTTCACAGGCCCTTTCATTCAAAATGAGAGCCGAGCCAGGAAAGAACTGGGGAAAAGCAAATCTGTTGTAATTGAACAAGATGGATGAAGTCTGTCTTAAGAATATGGTTATCTAGCAAGGAGCCTTCAAGTAAGGAGCTGGAGTGGAGAAGCTTAGAGGGGCCCTGAAAATTGGCTGTACCCCACATACCTACCACCCTTTGTTCTGTCCCCAATATGTGCGGCACAAGTGATGCTGAGCAACCTAACAGGTCACTGGTCACCAAGAATCTCTTCACTTTAACTAGGCACATACCCAGCAGGGTGGGCCTTGGGTCAGGAATGTTGAAACTGATCTCAAAGGTTTACCTCTGTTTCCCCAAGTTTCATGATTTCACTTTTTTTTTTAAGTGCTGCAATAAGAAAATGAGCTTTAAAAAAATGAGGTTTATTACGGACTCGGAAGAATAGGACGGGCAGGCTTAAATGGCCTGTGCGCACAAGGTACAGGTGAAGGAATATTACCTTGTTGGACACATTTTTGGACAGTGCTTGCAACTGGAGGCCCGCGGGCTGAGTATAAGTTTTGTTTGGCTACACTGAGCAAGAAAACTCATTTAAAGTAACATTTTAAAAATCGTATTAAAAACTCTAAATTTCGAGCTTTTCTTCATGGTGACGTTGGGCTTCTGGTGGCCCGAGGCCGCGGCGGGCTCTGGCCGGTTCCTTTAAAAGCGTCACCTATCCGGCCAAGGGCAGGTGCCCGCAAGCGGACGAGCCCACGGGCACCGACGTGAGTGCCCGCTGGTTTGCAAAAGCTCCAGGTGGTTCCATGGCGGCCAGTGCCCACCTGCGACGGTAACTCTCAAACCGAGACCGACAGGCCTCCGCCTCCGCAGACGGGAGCTGTCGGGGCGCGTGATGCGGTCTGCGAGGGCAGCGGGTGCGGCCCGGCCGGCGGGGACGGCCCCGGAAGAGGCGCCGGCGCGGGCTGGGCGCGGGGCTGCGGCCGGGACGCGCCGGCGGCTGCGCTGCGCCGCGCTCTCCGCCCCGCCGCGGGCCCCGCGCTTCCTGAGGCGGCCCAGCGCCGGGAGGCGTGGCCGGCGCGCCCACCCCGGCGGCGGCCATGGCCTCGGTGGTGGAGTACAAGGGGCTCAGGGCCGGCTACCACTGCGGCTACTGCGACTCCGCGGCGGGCAAGGCGTCCTGCGGTGAGTGTCCCGCCTCGCGTCCCGCCCGGGCCGGCCCCGCGCAGGGAACGCACTGCCGCCCCCCCCTTCACCCCGCTCCCGCCTCCCCTTCCCGCTCGCTTCTCCCCAGACCGCCTCCTCACGCTCCGTCCCCGTCTCACCCTCACCGAAGATGGCGGCCCCTGTGCGGGAAGGGGCAGCAGTCGCCGAAGACTGCCTGCCCGGGGCCAAGATGGCGCGGGCGACGTCAGCGCCTCGGCCCGCGCGAGGCGCGGTGCTCTGTGGGGCGGCTGCGGCGACGCGGTGCATTGTGGGGCATCAGTGGGCAGAGGGGGAGCGGGCAGGGGGAGGTCCGGCCTGAGGCGCCCGGTCGGCGCGCTGCATTGTGGGGCGGCGGCTGCTGCGGGCTGCGGGGCTGCCGGCCGGAGGCGTCCGGGCGGCGGCGCGGTGCGTTGTGGGGCGGCGGCGAGTCAGGCGGGGGGCGTCGCGGCCATGGCTTCCTGCGCCGCGCTGTCGTCCAGCCTGGTGGAGTACTTCGAGGGCGAGGACTTCTACCGCTGCGGTTACTGCAAGGATGAGACGGGAAGCCGATCTAACGGTGAGCGGGGCGGGCCGGCCGCCTCGGCTGCGGGGCGGCCTCGGGGTCGCGGCTCCTCGGCTCGGCGGGGCCCGGCCGCCGCCCCCCGCGACTGTCAGGGTGAACCCGGCCGGTGGCACCGGCTTCCGCGGCGGAGCCCCCGAGCGCGTTCCTCCGCCGCCCTGACGCGCGGGCAGCCCGGGCGGAGGACGGGCGCCGGCGCGCCGTGCGGGTCTGTGACGCGGGCGGGGATCCCCGCTGACAGGTGCCCCCGGGACCAGGTCCGGAGGGGACACGGCCGCCGGCGCCGGCGCTGCAGGGAGGCCCGGCGTCGCCGCCTGGGACGCTGACGGAGCCCCTCGCCCGCCATTCCCCCGCCGCCTCCCGGGTGTTGTTTGTAAACAGCGAGGCGGCTGTTCCTCCGCGCCCTCCTCGCGGGGGGAAGCTCGGTCCCGGGAACCGGCTGTGGGCCGGGCCCCGAAGACGCCCTGCCGGCGGGGCCGCTGGCCGAGGGGCGTGGGTGCCCGCGGCGGGCGGCGGTCGGGGCCCCGGCCGCCCTTCTCCTCCGGGAAGGGGTGTGAGGCGCCCCCGGGGGCGGGCGGCGCGGCGGGAGGCCGTCACCGAGAGAGAGAGGAGGAGCGGAACCCGGAAAAACAAACGGGGTGCAAATGACAGGGGACGCGACTCCTTGGGAGAAAAACGCCCGATGGTGACGGCGTTGGCCTGAGGCTGTTAGAGATCCTCCCGGGTCCAGGGCTTTACAATTGTGACTGCGACGGGTGCAATAAAACTAACATTTTAACAGGTTACCCTGTTACCCTGGCCATCCCGCGGAGAGGAAATACTGGGTGAAGACGCCCCATGTTTACAGTCGGGTGGGAGGACCCTGCTATCGGCCTTGCACCTGGAGAGGAGACCGCGTTTTATGGTCCCGGCTTCAGTTCCCATCCCCTTGGCCATGGGACCCGTCTGGGGGGTCAGGCTTTCTTCCCGGGTCTCGTAGGGTGACGTCAGGCTGCGCCGGGCTGTTGGGGTTCTGAGCGCCCTCTGCCCCCCACCTGTCTGCGGGCCGGATGCATTTACTGTTACAACAGAACTCCCAGGCTGTTGCTACGCTCGTTTTAATGGACCTTCCAGTGTGTTCTCAGAGGCTTCGTTTGTTAGGGTTGTGTGATTATTTCACCATCTCGGTAACCCGTACATCTGTAATCACTTTCCTGTTCCTAGGCACTAGGCTTACTTTTAGTTTTTGTAGCTAAAAGGAGTATTATTACATGTTTTTGTCTTGTTTTCAGTGTAAACATATATAAAAATCGGGAGAATTCATATGCACAAGAAAACACTTGCTTTCTAATTTTTCTGAAGAGACTAGCTTACGTTATTGGGGATATTGTTTAACGATGTGATGTAATCTGGTTGCACTAAGAAGCTGAATTTATGATGTCACGGAGACTGTGGACTAAGCCCGAATTAAATGGGATAGCTCTGATGTGTGTTTTTTTTAATTAAGGAGAATATATCATAATTTCCATTTGTATTATGTCAAACCAACAAGTACAAAACATGCAAACTTTTGTTCCTCCTGTGTGACCTAGATTGTCTTTTTTTGCTTCTGTATTCACGTTTTTAAAAAAAAACTGCTTTGAATTTAAGAAGTGCAGAGTGCAGTCTGCAAGGTGACACGTACTTGTCTTTCAGGCATGTGGGCGCATTCCATGACAGTGCAGGACTACCAGGACCTGATCGACCGAGGATGGCGGAGGCAAGTGCGGAGCACAGGCGGCTCCTCTGTTACTCAGGTTCTTATGAGTGAGAGAAAAAATACTGTTTTCTCTTAAAATGTTTTTCTGCTGTTGGGGAGAGGTTTAAGACCTTTTTTGTCCCTTTATGTAATGATTTTGTTCTCTCTCTTTTTAATGATGTTTACCAGGAAAACTTCAAATATATACAGATACAGAGGTACATTATGATGAAGCTCATGTATCTATCACTAGGCTTTAGCAGTTGTCAACATTTTGCCAGTCTTGTTTCCTTGATTCTTTTTGTGTTTTTTTAAGTACGGCATGTTTTTAAATATTTTTTATTATAATTTTATTGATGAGAGAGAGGGGGAGAGAGAGAGAAACATCAGTGGGATAGAGAACATTGATCAATTGCCTCCCTCCCATACACACCCCAACAGGGGATGGAACCAGCAACCTTTTGGTGCATGGGGTCGATGCTCAGCCAACTGAGAGCCACACTGGCCAGGGCTCATCAATTCTTTTTGGTCCCTGCAATGGACTGAATGCTTGTATCCGACCAAACTTTATAGCTTCAATCCTATTCCTGTTACAATGGTATTTGGAGGGGTAGCCTTTGGGAGGTGATTAGCATAAGGGTGGAACTCTCATGAATGAGATTCAGTCCTTTAAGAGAGAGCTCCCTGCCCCTTCTCCCATGTGAGGATGCACTGAGAACAGGAGCCAGGAAGCTTGTCTTCACGAGACACTGACCTGCTGGGCCTTGGTCTTGGACGTCCCAGCCCCAGACCTGTGAGGAATACACTCCTGTTGTTTAGAAGCCACTTAGCCTGTAGCACTTCATGATAGCAGCCCAAGCCGCCTTCTCCCCTCTCACCCCCCCAAAAATAATTTAAACCAAATTTCAGGTGTCACGCCATTATGCCTGTAATAAGTGTGTTTTCTAAGAGAGAAGAGTTCTTTTCCATTTGCTATACCTTACAAAATTAATCTTTGTCTGTGACCTAGTTTTGATTAGATTTTCTGCTCATCTCAGATGTGTGTGTTTTTTTAACAGTTGGTTTATTTAAATTAGGATTTCTTTAAGGCCCACACAGTGCATTGCCTTCGATGGCTAAGATTTCTTTGGTAGTTATTTTTATGTGGATGATTTTAAAGTAACTGTTAGGCAGTTCCTTACACAAGTAGTATGAGCAGTGTTAAGTGCCCTGTGCCAATCAATAAACCTGGGATTAAGCACAGATGAAACTTAACAACTTCTCTTAAACTCAATAATGACGGGGTTCGAAAGCAGACACAGGTCAGGTGCCGAAGGACTTGGTGTCCCCGATGAGGAGCCTTTCCAAAGGCAGAAGGGACCGCTGATGCTGATGGACAGGAGTGTGATGGCACTTGAGATTTGGGAATCGTTGTTTACATAGCAGAGAAGTGTCTGAGGGGTGATCCGAGAGGCGAAGACTGGTTCCAGGGTGATGCAGGGCCGGGCTGTAGGCTCAGCAGTGGCGAGAGACAGGAGGGACAGATTGGAGGTTTATTTATTTTACTTCTTTTTCAAAATATATTTTTATTGATTTCAGAGAGGAAGGGAGAGAAAAACATCAGGGATGAGAGAGAATCATTGATTGGCTGCCTCCTTCATGTCCCATACTGGGGATCGAGCCTGCAACCTGGGCATATGCCCTTGGCCGGAATTGAACTCAGGACCCTTCAGTTCGAAGGCCAATGCTCTGTCCACTGACCCAAACTGACCAGGGCTGAAGGTTCATTTTAGAAGCAGAAAGATTGCTGACAGGAAATAGAGCTCATTAGAGGGAGGAGTCTAAGATAACTCTTCGGTTCCTGGCTCAGGAACTGAACTGAACTGAATATTCGTTTGGGCTGCCATAACAATATGCCACAGATGGGCCAGCTTAGCAAAAATTTGTTTTCTCTCAGATCCGGAGGCTGGAAGTTCAAAACCAAGGTGTCCAGAGCTCTGGTTTCTACTGAGGCCTCTCCTTGGCTTGCACATGGCCGCCTCTCCCTGTGTCCACAGAGGATCCTTCTTTTTGGGTGGACTTCCCTGGTTCTTCATTCCTTTGTTTCCATTTTCTTTTCTTATAAGGATGTATATCAGACTGGATTGCGGCTCATTTTAATGGCTTCTTTTTAACCCAATCACCTCTTTAAAGGCCTTCTCTCTAAGCACAGTCATCTTATGGGGTTCTGGGAATTAGGGCTTTAACGTAGGAATTTCAGCCCACAGAGCCATGGCTCTGCCATTAACTGAATCTGGAAAGCATGAAAGGAACAGGTTGATGTGGGAGTACTTTGTGCTGTTGCACCTGGAACCCCCAAGAGTGGCTATTCAGGCAGCTATGTGCCTTGGTCCCACCGCCTCCAGGGCAGTTGTCTCCGCCCTGTAGTGAGGATCTGGGTGGTAGCTCAGGCATGGAATGGGTGGCAGTGCTGCTGAGGAGGTGACAGGATTGGCCTGGGAGTGCAGGGTAAAGTCTAGCAGGAGAAGCTGGCCTCAGCACACCCACATTGCAAGATGTCACTTAGGAAGAGTCACTAAACCTACATGGGTTTCTGCGCTATTGATTAGATTTTTTCCCCCAATTAAGTTTGTGCTTCTATAGTAATCTATTTTGGTATATATGAGAAATACATAAGAAACTAACAAAACTATTTTACAATTTTAGAAGTGGGAGATACGTGTACAAGCCTGTGATGAATAAAACATGTTGTCCTCAATACACTATAAGGTAAGAATTTGGTTAATAAAAAGAGGCTCCATAATATGAAGATTGTGTACTTTTTTAGTAGAGTCTTGCTTATTTTAAATGTTAAATTTCATTCTAAGTAGGCCAGACTGAGGGACCCCGAGGATCAGGCCGAGACGGGTGAGTCCTAGGTTGCTAGCGGGCACAGGCCAGTCCGAGAGAGCCCACTGGTGCGCAAATCCATGCACTGGGCCTCTAGTGTAAAAATAGATGAAAAACTATCCTCTTCATTTGGCAGTGTAGTCAGAGAATCCATGGAATATTGGGGAAAGATTGGTAAATACTCAAACTACTTTTAATAATTTATTTATTTATTTATTTATTTATTTATTTATTTTATTGATTTTGTACAGAGAGGAAGGGAGAGAGATAGCGAGTTAGAAACATCGACCAGAAAGAGTCATCGATCAGCTGCCTCCTGCACACCCCCCACCGGAGACATGCCCGCAACCAAGATACATGCCCCTGACAGGAATCGAACCTGGAACCCTTCAGTCCCCAAGCCGACGCTCTATCCATTGAGCCAAACCGGTTTCGGCTCAAACTACTTTTAGATATCAAATTTTTATAGGATTAGCTCAGGGCTTTCCCCTCTTCTAGCATGTAACTTCACATTGCATACATCCTGGCAGTACGAAATTGGATTTGGGGGAAGAGGAGCAGCCGGAGGGCTCAAACCTGAACTGCCACGTGCATTCAGAGGCCACTTTCCTTCACTAGAAAGCTTAATCTGAAAAGCCTTATTTTCCTACAAAGTATTCAGTTTTTCATAATCTTTTGGGTTTACCCTCTGCCCCCTTCACCACATCCTAATATGAAAAGATTTTCTCTCTCTGGCCAGGTAGCTCAGTTTTATTGGTACCTATCTTTGTAGCAGGCCCTCCTCAAGTGTCTGGCAATTCCAGCTTTCCAGGGTCCCATTGGGAATCCCGTGTGCCATGCGGGTCTTGCTTACTGTGGGCTTTGAGCAGGGGATCTGGCTGGGCTGTCCCCCATTGTCAGTGCTTTCAGGTCTGATCACGTTGGGAGAGAAGGCCTCACCTCCGGGAGGTCTCAGTACAGTCCGTCGCTCCCCACATGCTTGTGGCCCTCATGTTGGAGGCTCTGTCTCCCTCTCATGAAACTGCAGTTTTCTACTGGGCTGTGAGGGAGTCCTCTGTACAGGGCCAGGAGGGCACCTGACATCCACCTGCTTCCAGAACCTACTTTCAGGGCTCTTTCTAGTTGTAGATGCACCTTCTTGCACATCCCCTGTGGTGTCTGACACAAGTAGCAGCAGCCCCTGAGACTGGTATGGGTAATGCAGATACAATGGGTATCCTTTGGGCTTCTCTCACTGTTGGTTCAGGGTTAACTTTCTTTGGCCTGCTCAGTCAGCTACCACTTGTACTTCTGCTTTCCAGCTTCCGGCATTTCTCCCATCCTCTTTTTCCTGGTATATTATGTCTTTTCCCCCTAATCCTTAGTTTTAGTGAGATTTGAGGTGAAGTTAGAGCAGTGGTTCTCAACCTTTCTAATGCTGCAACCCTTTCTTTAATACAGTTCCTCATGTTCTGGTGACCCACAACCATAACATTAGTTTCATTGCTACTTTATAACTGTAATTTTGCTACTGTTATGAATCGTAATGTAAATATCTGTGCTTTCCGATGGTCTTAGGCGACCCTGCTAGCAGTTCTCAACCTGTGGATCCCACAGGTTGAGAACCGCTGCTGTAGAGCCTTACAGATACTTACATTACAATTCATTAACAGAAGCAAAATTACAGTTATGAAGTAGCAATGAAAATAATGTTATGGTTGGGGGTCACCACAACATGAGGAACTGTATTAAAGGGTCACGGCATTAGCAAGGTTGAGGACCACTGGTTAGAGGCTACATTAAGCCTTGCCTTTATCCAGAAATCCCAGGCATAAACGATGTCTCAGTATACTGGATACTGTCCATAACTGGCTCATTTCTTCAGCGTTTGAGTTCATTTTTTAAAAATTTATTTTGCTTTCCTAGGTGCCAAGCTTTACAGTTTCAGCCATCAAAATCTCACAAGAAGGTTTTGAAAAAAATGTTGAAATTTCTGGCTAAAGGGGAAATTTCCAAAGGAAGTTGTGAGGGTAAGATGAGATGGGGTTAAAACTGTTGACTTTAAAATGATGTCTCTCTCCAGGGTTCTTACTTTCCGTCAGGGAACAGGGTCCTCACCACAGTCAGGTACCACTGTTTCTGTGACAACATTTCCTCGGGAACAGCTGTTACTATTCCCTGGCTCCACATCAAGGGTGTGGGAAATGGATGTGAGAGCAAGTCTTGCTTGATGAAAGATTGAGGGTCTTTTTCGAGGTACAGTGTTCTGGAGTTTATGGAAATTGTAGCTTTCATGGTTCTTTGGCAACTCTTCTCTCACTCGATCCCAGTAATATCCTTGTGAAGGAAACGGGAAGGGGACCGCTCTGGAGACCAAGTGCTCACATGCAACTTGCATGTGATTGCAGTCCCTTTGGCTGTGAAGTGAGACTGACTTCAGTAGCTACATTGCCTCAAGTTCTGTTTCTCACTTGTCTGGTCAATTTTGAATTATGTGGGAATTTTTTTTAAATGCATGATTTTTTTTTTTTAAATATATTTTATTGATTTTTCACAGAGAGGAAGAGAGAGGATAAGAGTCAGAAACATCGATGAGAGAGAATCATCGATCAGCTGCCTCTTACACACCCCCTACCGGGGATGTGCCCGCAACCGAGGTACATGCCCTTGACCAGAATCGAATCTGGGACCTTTCAGTCCTCAGGCCAACGCTCTATCCACTGAGCCAAACTGGTCTCCGCTAAATGCATGAAATTCTTAAAGATAATTAGTAACATTTAATTAACTGTGGTTACGGATACTTTGCATTTTCAGTTTTGTTACTTAAAAAACAAACAAAAAACCCTTTTCTTATAGGCAGTGCCTATAAATACATAAATAAGAATTGAGAGGGCACCCATTCTTCAAGCCCTTGCTTCCTTCTGCCCTAGGAAATGCCTTATGTTAGGAGCCTCCCACCCCCATCTTAGCTTGTTACTTCATTCCCCAAGTGTGTTTTGATGCCTACAATGTCCCAATCCCTTTTTTAAGCACTGGAGAGGCAGTGGCCCGCAAGACACTCTCCTGTACTTTGCCCCCCTCATGCACTGTCCATATGGACCAGGATTCAGGCAGGTGGGAGCTAACTGGGCAGAGCCGGACAGCAAAGAGGCCAGAGGCTTGGGTCACGGAGGGTCAGGAGCAGTTGGAGCTTTGGGAGCATCAGGATGTTGGCCGAGCTCTGCTTATTGTCCACTGTGATCTTACAGGTTAAATGGATTTTGTTGGTTAGTCAGTACAAACTGTTCAGTGGCTGAGAATCATGTTCTGGGTTTCAAAAACTATTTAGATAAGCTTTGAGAACGCTGTTCATTTGCAAAGTGATGGTTGCCTGCCCTTTTTATTTTTAATATATATTTTATTGTTGGTAGTATTACAGACATCTACCATTTACACACACACACACACACACACACACACACACACACACCAGTTGCCTGTCTTTTTATGTAGCTTTTATGCTAGGTTTTTTATTTGACTTGTATAATTTTCTGAATTACTTACTGCTACAACTTAGTTAATAGAAGTGATGTACTCATTAGGGTGAAAGCTGTAACACAGAGACACCAAAATGCAGGGACTAAACAGTGATAGCAATCTATTCCTCCCTCACACAGCAGTCGGAGTGGTATGACAGGCTGGCCATTTTGGGCTGCCCTCCTTATGTTCCCAAGGTTGCTCTGGTTCTTACTGATCCTGCCAGTGGGGAGGGGAAATGATGGAAGTTCAGGGCACATATTTCCTTTAGAACAAGGGAGGCATCTTTAGATTATCCGTTTGGTTATGTTTTGTTGGTGGGAACTTGGTCCCGACTGACAGGAGGGCAGTGCGGTCCCTTGCGGGGCTGCCCGGTCCTGGCTGCAGCTCTGCTGCGCGGGGGGCGGGAGGGTGGATCTGTGGACACACAGGAGCTTCTGCTGCGGAGGGTAAAGGGACATTGCTCCCTTCGGGTGCCTTCACTGTGTCTGGCTGATGGACTTTGCTGCTTTCTTATTTGTAGATGAGCCTATGGAGCCCAGCATGGAGGATGCTGTTGCCGGGGACATGGCGCTCATCAATAGATTGGATCTACAATGTGACCTTAAACAGCTCGGCGATAACCTCAAAGACAGCTTACAGAGGGAAGTGAAGAAGAAAGGAAAAAGCACAAAGAAAGAGGAATCTAAGGAATGTATTCAGTCACAGGACAGGAACGAGGAGCAGGGCTCCGGGGAACCGTCTCACGCGGTGGAAGTGCACGCAGTTCCTAAGCCAGGTACCGCCGCTGTCCGACGTCCTCTCAGGTGCCCCTGGTGGTGGGAATGTGACCGGTCAGCTGGAAACGAGAGTCACTCCTGAATCCACAAAACCGATCTGTTTTAGACAGCTTACTGCCTGGGTTAAAACCAATGTCTAATAACCCTGACAATAGCCTCATTATCCCCAAACTCATTTGAAAAGAGCTCCATTTCTTCTTACTACCTTAGGGCCCTCGAAGCTTGAGAACCAAACCTTTTTAGTGAAAATATATGCTAAGCATTTTTATTTTTGGTGTTAAGTGAGACAAAGTAATTTTCGGTATTATGTCCACAGTATAGACATCGTAAAATTCTTGTTTATCATTAGTTTTCTTTAGGCAATCATAATAAATTTTAATTTAAAAAATTTTGGATTTTGATATTTAATTTCACTTTTAAAAAGGAAAGATTTTCTTCTATATTTTCACTTATAAAATAATTAAGTTTAAAAGTTTTATTAACCATTAAATGAGTATATAATGTGCTTGTGTGCAAGAATGTGTATACAATTCTTTTAACATTTTATAAAAATAATTTGGATTGTTTTTATGCTTCATTTCTTAAATTTGTTCTTATGTTTAAGAACAAGGGATTTTTAGTACTACTTAGTACTATTTTAGTTTTCTTTGCTACATATATAAAAGCACAGAAAACCGTGTTTTTGTTGAATAGAGTGTTTTTTATGTAAGACTTTAGTGGCATTTAAATTGATGTTGGTCTGAGATTTTATCCTAAAAATGAGAATAAGCCATTAAAATATTTTGAATGATTTAGGTAATTTCCTTCAATTTTTACTAGAGTGATAGGGTTAGTTCTTTTATTTTCAATTTTTTTATTATAAAAATTACTTGTATATCAGATTAAAAAGCCATTTTGGAGAATTTCAAACAGACACATGAAGATAGAATATTATAATGAACTTCCATGTACCCTCCCCTCATTTGAAAGAGTCACTGACTTACAGTTGACTGTTTTTGTTGTATTGATAGTATTACAGATATCTCCCATTTTTGGTACTACAGTTTCTACTATGAGGATTACTTGTGAACTGCTGTTACTATAATATTATACTGGCCCATATCAAGGATATGGGAAATGGATGCCAGGAGGAGTCTAGCTTGGTATAAGGTTAAAAGTCATTTTCCATATGTGATATCCTGGAATTGTGGGGTCCCAGATAGTTAAAATTTTTATCTTTTAAAAAGGTTTGATTACAATTCTGGTTCACTAGAGTTAACTGATGCGACTCCTCCGGTGGAGAGAGACACACTGTCAACTGTATAAAAGTGTTTTTGGTTGAGAACCCGCCCAGTGTGCTCTGGGAGCAGCACATCTTTCCACCTGGGGCTGAGCATGTCTCTGTCCCCAGTGCTCAGAAGTGTGGGCCAGAGGCAGCCATATCCTGAGCAGAAGATACTTGATTGTGTTCTGTCACTCACAATGGCAGAGAGGAAGTAAAATATTTGTTTAGAAGAGAGATTTTCAACAATAAGAGATCTGGAAAGTTCTGTGCCTCTTGACCTTCTTCAGCAATTCTTGCTTCAAAGGTAGAATTTTAAGATTAACTTTGGGCTTCAAACCAGGACCCTCTCAGACACCTGCCCTGAAACTCACCTGACAGCTGCATCTCTCTGGCATCTTCGAGAGTCAAATGTGATTGGTTCTATATTCTGAAATTCTTTTTAGGCAAAGGGGCAGATTTGAGCAAGCCTCCATGTCGGAAAGCAAAGGAAATCCGGAAGGAGAGGAAGAGGTTAAAGCTCATGCAGCAGAGCCAGGCCGGAGAGCCTGACGGCTTCCAGGCTCCACGGGAACCAAAGACCAAACCCAACCAGCCCAAATCGCTGGAAGAGTTAATTTTTGAATCTTTACCAGAGGATGCGTCACATAAGTTAGAGGTACTTTGGAGAACATACAATGTTTTGTTTTGCTTTGTTTTTTTGTTGAGTCCCTCGTATATTTTCATTTTAAGTTATATTAATCCATTGATACATTGTTTAAACTGGGAAATTAAAGTGGATTGGATGGAGTAGCATTTGTGTTTACTAAGTCAGCTGCTACTTGAGAGAAATTTAAGATAAAAAAAAACAGGCAGTTTGACTCAAGTTAAAGCAAATCCAGGTTTTTGCATGTTTTGCTGCGTAAAGTTTCTGGCTTTCTGTATCCTTTGATTGAAATTTAGTAGTTAAAGTAAAAAAAGCAAAAAACACCTATTTGAATTTCACGTTTGGCAGTTTTGGTTTAGATAGTGAAGGAGAAGAGGTCAGTGAGGCGCATCACTGTTGTTCTGTCCTCCTGATCTTGGTCAAGCAGCAGCATCACCTGTGCAGGCCAGCATTTAGGGCATAACGAAGTGGTACTTAGTCGTCCTGCTGTAATAAACCTCTCATTACTTTCCCCCAGCCAGATAAGCATGGTAGAAATACTTTTTAAGTGTTCCTGTCATTTTTCCCAAATTGATTTACATTCCAGATTAAGTCTAGATTTTTCAGTATTTGTTTGGTATTTATACCTTGTTTTCTAAAACATGAGCCATGATGATACTATCATATTCTCATACGTGATTAGTAACTGCTCAGCCTTTGAGTTTATAGTTTAATGTCACCTAAGAACATTTCTTATCACTGAAGATTTGATATTAAAAGCTAACTTTAATATAGTGTAATGTAAACCTTAGGACAATATGTTGTCAGGTGTAACTTTTAACAGCTTTCACTCATACTTCCTGGCTACTCTGATTTTGTTCTTGATTTTCTCCTTCCCAACTTTAAGAAAGGAATTAACACTCTAAACATTTTATGAGGAGTCATTATTTTTTATAAATAGTAAGGTATTCAGGGCACCAGGCACATCTAACCTAGCTGTTTACAGTAGACAGCTTTTGCTTTTTAATGTAGTGGCTCCCTGGACAGATAGAGACCTGCTGCCCACCGTCACGCTTTCTTCGTAGGAGAATTACTTCTCAGGCCTGCCTGACATGTGCCTTTTTATTAGATTGCTTTTGATTTTCTGTTTTACTATCCTGTTCTGCTAGCCCATTTTGACTGGTTAGTAACTAATTAATATTAAAGTAAATATTAGCTATTACTGCTTGCAATTACTGTTTTTAACTCTTCCTCATTTTACATATGAGTAATCTAAGTTACACTGGTTAACTTGTATATTGAGCACGACGGTGACGTTAAGATCTGAGTTGGAGTCTCCATTTTTAGCCATGTCATAAAATAGGAGCATACTGTTGTCTTTTACACTCATAAAAAAGGTGGTAAGTTTAGCATTAGCAACAGCTCATCAGTGTGTCCAAAAATATATTCACATTTCCAGAATTGCTGACTGACTAACCGCAGGTGAGTTGCTCACGGCTAGGCTGGAAGAGTGTGTATTTGTGTTTGTACCCTGAGTGTCAGAGAGCAGCTTCCATAGTGGGGTCCCAGACTTCAGCTAGTCTTAGAATTGAGGCAGGGTCTTCTGCCTTCTTACTGAGCCTGTATGTTGGAGAAATGACATTTTACATTTATTTACTAACTGGTAGATTTTTAATGTTAAACTGTTACATATTTATGCATTAATGTTTGTATTGGAGCATTTGGTTCTTTTTGGGTGGGAGTAATTGTTAATGCATATTCCATGGAATAAGCACATGAATTAATGGACATTGTTTTTAACTCCTTCTGAAGGTGAGGGTGGTGAGATCATCTCCACCAAGTTCTCAGTTCAAAGCCACAATGCTGGAGTCGTACCAGGTCTATAAACGATACCAGATGGTTATTCACAACCACTCACCTGATGAACCAACTGTCAGCCAGGTCAGCAGGCCAAGCACACGGAACTCTCCCTTCCACTCGATGTCCCTGTATGAACTCTGGGTTTACTTGGGATGCATTTTATTTATATGCTGTTTGCAGCATATCTGCCAAGAGACAGAACTGGATTGACGGACATTCTGAAAGTGCAAATTGTGCCTAGTGCCAGTCGTATGATTTCAAAGTGGAAAAGGAACACACAAAATGAATTATCTTCAATTAAAACCACTATGTTTAGATGCATTTATCTAAAAATAATAGAGGTCTAAGTAAAAATATTTGAGAAAAATGCAAAAAGCCTTTGCATTTTATGGTAGACATACTTTGCACAACAGGTTAATACGCTCCCTATTTTTAAGCCACATGTAGAAGGAATCATTCATAGCAGCTGCCTTACTCTGTTAATATACTGCCCAGACTCAACTGAGGAGAGTTAGAAAAGTAAGAGTATTTGAACAGAAATCCTCATTGCTTATACTTTCATAAATCAAATCACTCAGGAAAAATCTGGATGAGAAAAAAGCTTATAGCACTTGCCTTGTGGTGGTGACAAAAGAAGCGGCCATGGCCATCAGCAGCCGCATTGACTTCAGGGCGTGCAGAAAACTGCGTAGGTGGGTCGAGGGAAACCCCAAACAGAGGAAGATCCAAGTCTTGGCCTTTGTTAGTGTGAAGTTAGTGCTTTGGGTTCTATGCCCGTCACCTCCCAGGGTCACTCGTTTCCTGGAGAACCCAGTGCTGAGCTTTGGAAGGGGAATTGCGGAGATCTTACTGGGCCTCACCTTCAGAAGCGCGTCCTCGGGCGGCGTGTTTCAATAGTGTGTGCTTGTATCTTCCTTGCTCTGAAGGTGAGGTTAGTGCCTGTCTCCTTTGAGGACCCAGAGTTCAAGTCGTCCCTCAGCCAGTCGTTTTCTTTGTATGTCAAGTATCAAATGGCCATACACCAGGATCCGCCCGAGGAGTGTGGGAAGACCGAGGTACCTTTGTTACACGTTTCCTATGTGATGGGCGTGGGTGTGAAGAAGTAATATAATTTCTTATGCCACTTAATCTGTTCAGTGGAGTATATAATACTCTACTTTCAGTGTGAGATACTGAATGTTATGAAAATGCGTTATACATGTCGACATTTTAAATCCTCCTGGAAAAAGATGTGTTCTTACGCGATGTTCTGCCCAGGAACCGGAATGCAGTGTGTGTATCTGTTGTCATCAGGCCGAGTCAGCAGACATCACTGTGTGCTCGTTACCGCCAGTCTTCGTACCCCAAATCCTGTCTGTGCCATGTTCTTCCTGCACATGCCTGCGCACAATTTAATCTTAGGTCAGGCACAGAAGAGATGGACAGCAGTGACTAGCAGTGACGTGGTGCAGTGTAGCAGGGAATATAATAAAGCTATGTGAGCTTGTCTTTCTCATTACCAAGGGAGGAGCATGTACGCCCGGATACACTGGACACGGGTGATTGGCGTCCTGGGTGGGCGGAATGGCATGGCAGGAGAGTGCCTCACACCGCCCAGAGTGGTGTGCTGTGTAACACCTACCAATTGTTTATTGCTGGGACTTCTCATTTGATATTTTTGGACTGCTGTTGGCAGTGGGTAACAATTCTTGGGGGTGCTGAGTAGCTCTCTGCTCCTACGGCCGCTGCTCTCTGGCTCCTTTCTCTCCGAGGGACATCCTTGCTTCATGAGCAGGATCTTCTCTAAACAAGATAGTAAATTGGGGCTCACTGGTAGGCAACAGCAGGCCTGTGAGCTGCCTAGCAACCCTGTGTAAGGAGGTGTCACTGCTGCAGATGTTCCTACCGCGATGGAGGCTGTTCCAGGGTCCTGTGCTTTGGTGGATACTGTTTGCTACAGGAGTTCAGAGCATTACTGTGAGCGATGCAGAGAAGGAGACCTGCACGCCTCAGCGGTGCTTGTTTAGGGGAAGGCTGTCTTACATGAGGCATACGTGGTCAGACAGTGAACGTGGTCATGAAAAGGGAAGGTCACCCTGGGTCCGCCCTGACCTGGAAGAGAAACACAGGATCTAATGGAATACTGGGTTGTGCATGGCTCCAGCCAGCAGGTGGCGCCCTGGCTCCAGAACAGGTCTAGGCTTTGATCAGGGTCAGCCCTGCCAGTAGGGGATACATCCTGGGAAGGAGGATAAATGCTTTCCTTCTGCTGTTGGGTAGAAGCAGTTTGCATCAAGGCGTTGAATATGATAATTACAGATGATTGGTTGCTTGTGAAAGATTTAATTTTTTTTGGAATTTAACTTACACATTTTCAGCTTCATTTCCCCTCTTAGTAGTCTTACTCTGTGTGTATGAAAATAATAGCTTACGTTTAGAAAGTTACCACTGTATCAGACTGACAGTTCCTTCAAGTATGCAGACAAACCTGTCATGTGCATAGGCATGCACTATTTTATCAATATCTAACTCATAATGGAGGCAAGCTCTGAGCATTTTGAAATATTTTTCATATTTTTTTAAGGTCAGGGCTAACTTAGCTGAATAAAGTAGAGGGCTTAGGCAATTGTTGGTATTTTAATTCAATTAAAAAAAAACACTTTTTATGAGCAACTTCTAAATCAGGGTACTTTCATATTGTAATCCGTCTTAAGGCGTGTGAGACATTTACTAATAGTTAAATTACCAAAGTTTTTGAATCACTTAAATAACTTAGAGTAGCAGCTCTATTGTATTCTTAGCATAATGTTAATTTGGGTGGGTGGAGATACAAAAGGGTTTGTGTTAAATAGCACTGGGAATATTTTTCCTTAAAGTTTATTTTGGTCAGTAATTTCCAGAAACTCATCTCGGATCATAAAGCATAGCATCATACTTTAGAGACAAAGGGAACTTAGTGGTTGTGTAGATTGACTTCTCCTGTTTGGAGAATTAGGCGATTTGTCCAAGATAACATGGGGAAGCAATGGCAGAGTAGTGCCTCCAAATTTAAGTGCTTTTTACTGGGCCACATTTTACCGTGCGGCTAAGTTACAGTGGCCTAAACAATGTCTATAGAATAACTGACACCAGTGAATGAGATGTTCAGCATAAGCACATTTTCCAGGTAATTGAAACATCTGCACTGCCAAGATTTTATGTTCTCAAATCATGTGCAGTGAGAGTCCTTCACAAATGCATGGTCATATGCTCCACCTCCTCCCAGTGCTGAGCAGGACTGTCGTTTCCTGTGCAAGTGCCTGCAGGTGACTGCCTTTTTCTCTAATGACTCAGCCTCTTTCCCTTGGTCTCCCCCCCCCCCCCTTTTATTTTCTCACAGACTCATGCTTAGCCTGTCCCCAGGGACGCGGCCCGGCACCTGTAGATTCCCCCAGCCTCTTTGGACACAGAGGCTCGGCAGATTCTCCTGCTTAGATCCTTGATTTTACCTTCCAGGGACTTCTGCCCTTCCTGGGTGCAAACTATCTCACCAGCTGCGTCTCCTCGCCAAATTCGGGCTGAATTCCACTCCTTTCAGCTGCTCCTTCCACCCGCTCCGGGACAAGGCCAGGACATGTCAGTCTGTTCCACTGCCATCTTCCCTCCCCTCTCAGCCTCTTATCCTTTCTCTTTTAGATGTCATTTGTTAGTTTGTCTAGTTTTAGCGCATTCCCTCTCTACCTTGTGGTCTCCTAACGTGTTTGTTAACTATGTATTGAGCACATAGTATGTGCCAGGTACTGTTGGAGAAGCCTTTGGTAGGTAGCATGTGAGTCAGCAGTCGAGATCCTGCTCTAGTGGGCCCTTTGGGGTGGCAGGTAGTCAGAGATTGTCATTAGCAGTTGGCATAGAGAGTGAGTAGAGATGGTGGTTGGCCCACAACCAAGGTACATGCCCTTGACCAGAATCGAACCGGTGACCCTTCAGTCCATAGGCCGACACTCTATCCACTGAGCCAACCCAGTCAAGGCTGTAATTTTAGTCTTGTAAGTTGCTTTTATATCATATAAAACCTAAAAAAGGTATCATTTGTGAAAGATTTATATGTGTATTTTTCAACGGCTTTATTTGGAGCTAGAGACAAAGGAACTGAGGATATTTCTGAGTTTGTGCTTTGCTGATGGCAGTTCTTGCTTTTGAAGAACTCACTAGGTCAGATTCCCATAGCCTGTAGTGTTCCTTGTGCTATTACACCAACTTGTGAAAATACTCGGCTAGAGTCAGAAGAAAGGCTCGGTCGGTGCCTGGAGCAGGGCCCAGGAACTCGTGGGGAGACCCGCCGCTGAGTTGACGGTTCCTAAGAAGCAGCTGGAGACAAGTCCGGCCAACGGAAAACTACTCTGAAAGAAAACTGTGTTCTTGAAACTTGGGACATTGAAGCAAAAGGAAAATTCAAAGGAAGTCAGGAGCTCTTGGCGTTGTTTCTCTATAAGTGAGAGTTGCTTTAGTTTCCTGAGTGTTGAGAAATCCACCTCCAACAAGTAAGCACTGTTTAGTGCTTGCAAAGCTCATGTGATAGGAGTCACCTTGTCCTGAGCGCCTGGGGTCATGCTCTGCTGTAATTTAGGTCTGCTTTTCCCATTAAACCTGGAGCCTCGTGCTTTACGGCCTCCGAAGGACTTGACAAGTGAGCAGTGCTGCCTGTGATGGCTAGTCCAAACAAGGAGAGCTTGTGGTTTGCAGTGGTAATTCATTTAATACGCCAGTAATTTCAGGGAGCTGTTTGCGTGATGAAAAAGCAGTCGGTTTTATCCAGTTAGTAGTAATACAAGAATATATTAACATACATGATTATTTACCCAGAGCATAATTCTGTCTTTAAGAATGTGTAAAAATAGGAATATATTTGTGTATATCTAGAAAGGTAAGCTATAGGTATATATGTGTATGTAAACATATTGACACATATATTAATATGTAAAAGCTTTTCTGTGACATTTTAGAAATAGTTGAAAAATTTTATTTTTAAAACGACTCCCATATTTCTTTCCCCTTGGCTATGGATGAGTGTGATTCTTCTATTCAACCAATTGTGTAAACATTTAATTCCTAGCATGTTTCATCAGTATGGTAGGTTTTGGGGACACAGAGATAAATAAGACATCGTCCTTGGCACATTTTAGCTAACAAATCTTAAAATATTTTTAAAGTTATTTTTATAGGTTTGCATTCATATTAAAAATGATAAAATACTACTACTAATATTAACAGCTTTTGGCAATACCTGGACCTGGCTTGCTGTGGAGATGTGTGGTCGTACTTGGAGCCAGTCTAAGTGTGTAAGCGGTACCTATAAGTGTGCAGTCTCTGTCTCATGTTGGGCTCCTGTAAAAAGGACCCCAAACAACAAAGCTTGCACTTTAAATTTCAGTAGAATGACTTGTTTCATATCAGCATTTGAGAATTTAAAATTTTGTTAGACCTTGCACTTTCAGAAAGTTCTCTTAACAGTTAATATAATCGAATTGCATATTGATACAATTTAAGAAAACATTCTAATAGTCTGTATTTTGGTATTCCCTGGCATCGAGAGCCTATAGGATATTAGTTAATTACGTGGCTTTGGAGTGTACTAGTAATATTTACTTGAGTATTTGGGGGAGGAAGTGTCTGATATAGGTTTTTAAATTTTTATTTAAAATTTATTTTTTATTGTTGAAAGTATTGCAGATGCCCCCTTTTTTTCATCATTGACCCTTTCTAGCCTACCCCTGCCTTCACCACATGATACAGTTTTTTAAACTTTATTATGGAAACTTGAAACATTCGCACAGTAGTGAGATTCTTATAATGAATTCTCAAAAACTCATCTCCTGTCCTTACTGGTATAATGACCAGTCTTGTTTTGTCTACACACTTACCTCATTACTTCCCCCCTCAAGTGATTTTTAAGAAAATCCCAAACATCATGTAATTTCATCGTGCAACATTTCTGTGTGCATCTCTAAGAGGAAATAAAATCATTTGTGTTCCCTGTGAGTGCCGGCAAGGGGGGTCCAGCAGGACTTGGAGCGGCCTAACTCGCTGTACACATAATTTGCATTTAGAAAGATCAAGAGTTTATGCTACTTGGGTATTTCATCATTATTGTAACTCAAGGGGTTTGAAATGTTGATTTTGTAAGGACATCTAAGAAAACATGAATTACCATTATGAATATGTATGAGATGAGATGGAATCCTCAGAGCAAAACTGCACTTTGCTTTGTCATTTGTGCATGATTGCCTCCCCCAAAATGTATGCGTCGTTGTTTAAATGCTGGGAGGCAGCATTCTTAGTTCCAGGTGAGATTCTGTAAGCTGCTGTGGCATCTGAGAAAGAGCAGAGAGGAAAGATATGTGAGTGGCTGGGGAGGGAGAGCTGAGCAGGGAACTGCCACCAAGTGGAGCAGTACCTGCCCTCTGTCACTCAGGCTCACCCAGCCTGCTTTGGGGACGGGATATGGTTGTATTGATTACAGAGGGGAAGGGACAGGGAAAGAGATAGAAACATCAGTGATGAGAATCATTGATCAGCTGCCTCCTGCACACCCCCTACTGGATATCGAGCCCACAACCCAGGCATGTGCCCTTGACCGGAATTACACCGGGAACCTTTCAGTCAGCTAGCCAATGCTCTATCCACTGAGCCAAACTGGCAGGGATAGGAGGGGAGCTTTTATTAATAGCTTGAGATATCATTCACATACTACAAATTTCACCCCTAAGGTGTACAATCAATGATTTTTACCACCACCATCCAATTTTAAAACATTTTCGTAACCCATTAGTAGACACTCCCCATCCCCCCCCACCCCAAGCTCTAGGCAACCCTCATCCACTTTCTGTCTCTAGAGATTTCCTAGTATGAATATTTCATGTAAATGGGACTATTATAATATGTTGAATTGCTTCTTTTTGCCTCCTAAACCCAGAGCTTCTGGGATTTAATCAAATCCAACCTCCTCTTTTGCTCTTGACTTTATTTCTCTCTCTTCTCGGTTCCTCTTGATTTATACCTTGTCCTTTGCTTGGCGTTTACTTGACTTTGGTCAGGCAGACGCTGACTCTTCCGTTAGAGCGGGTGCTTTCTTATACAAGGGTTGTGAAATGAAACTTTAAAGAAATGTTTTAGGACTTACTTGTTTTTATACAGATTCTTTAAAAAAGTAGTTTTACTTAATGTAATTCAAGTAGTCAGATGCCCACTGTGGGCCACATTGACCTTCTCTGTGCTCTGGATGGCTATCTAAGTATGAGAGCATTGATGTTATACGTAGACTTTGGGGTTACTTTAAGTGTTCTTGCTGAAAATGTGTGTAATAAGTTTTCCTTTTATGTTCTCTTTTGCTGCTCATTTACTGGATGAACCTGATTCTATTCAAATGTGACTGCAGTTCACAGGATTCCTTTGCACCTCACCGTTGGAGGTAAGTTTACACTGACCTGAGCAATAGCATCGCTGATGGACATCTTGTGTGGGGCATCTCCCGCTGCCATAACTGTTTTAACATCAGCCTTACTTTCTCTGAACTGCCGAGGTGTTAACGAGCTGGAGAAGCCTAGGCAGAGGCTGACATAGATGCTTCATTTGGTTCGAACGAGCTGTTGAAAATCTGTGGATTGATTAGGAAGGAGCAAAGGACTTCCTGTGCCGGAGGACTCACCTGTGACTGAGCTGTTCTCGTAGTATAGACCCTACCCTAGGTGCCTCATTCACTTTCTCGTTTAGTCCTCACGGTGTTCTGCAGATGAGAACTGAGAAGCTAGGGATAAAATGGTGAGATAAAGAAAAACTTAGCTCTTCGGGGAACCAGGAGTCATTGTGAGCTGCAGCTGATACGAAATAGCTTGCGGGAGATGCGTGATGAGACTTTGGGGGGAAATAGAAAGGTGGCCGAGAGTGTAGAGACGTCTGGATTTAGAGCCGTTGCGGGTTCGAGATCATGCCTTCCCTTCCTGGCCACCTGGCCAACTCCAGCTTCTCGGGCCGCTCGAGGCCAGCGAGAGGAGCCTGCTCTCCTTGCTTCCTGGCTTAGCTCGGTGCAGTGCACAGAGGCACCGAGGAAAGAGTTGGTGGGGCTAAGGCGGAGAATGGCAGTTGTGACCCATAGAAGCACAGCAGGTTTCCCGTTTGTATCTCACTGTGGGCGATCCTCGGACTCCCAGCTGGGTGTAGCCCCGCAGCCTCGGATCTGTCGTCTCCGGGATCCAGGTGTAGGTGTGACATGGAGTGCACCAGCCACACACCTGGAGCTGCACCAGGCATGCTGCTTCCAGTGCCTCTCTCTCCCTGGGACGCTGGGCTTCAGGTGGGGAAGCTGCATCTTCGGGGAAAACAAGGGAAAGCGTCAAGATGGAAGCTTAGTGATGATTTCTGTCATTTTCTGTGTGATTCGCTTTTTCCACTTAATGATTGGAGATGTATCGATACTTTGCCTTAGCTAAAGTGATTTATTTCTGACTGGACCTACGGACATGGGGAGGGGAAGAAATAAAAATTTAACATGGCCAACGTGCTCTTTTTCCCCTTAAAGTATTTGGGAAGTGGTTGAGGGATTTCTGTTGATATTGTTTTAGCCTGGAATTTCCCGGGAGCTACCTGATGACAATTATTGGCTGCTCCCTCCCCCCTTCCCTCAGCCTCCAGCTCCCCCTGCCTCCCAGTCTCCAGCTCCCCCCAGTCTCCAGCTCCCCCTGCCTCCCAGTCTCCAGCTCCTCCTAGTCTCCAGTCATTGAGCTCAGGACTCGGCTCCTTGGCCCTGCGGAGCCTGAGAGCCCAAGCAAAGCTAAGGCAGGAGAATGTTGGGAGTCTAAATGTTTGATTTTTACATTAAGCTTTGGTTTAGCTGTAGAAGAGACACCTTGCCTAATCTATATATATGTATAAAAGCCTAGTATGCTAAGTGTCTGACTATTCAACCAGTTGCTATGATGTCCACTGACCACCAGGGGGCAGATGCTCCAACCAGTAGGTTACTTGCTGCTGGAGTCTGGCCGATGGGGACTGGTTAAAATGGGCCAGACACATCCTGGAGCCATCCTATGGTCCCTCCCCAGCCCCGATCATGCACCAATGGGGTCCCTTGGCCTGGCCTATGCCCTCTTGCAATCTTGGGGGTTGTCAGAGAGCCGGTTTCAGCCCGATCCCTGCAGGCCAGGCCAAGGGACCCCACCAGTGCACAAATGTGTACTGGGCCTCTAGTTTCAAATAAAAGAAAAATAATTCTGGTAGAGAATGAAATACATGAGACTTGCAGTTGGTGGAAATGAAGGAGACTCAATTTCACTTTGTCCACAAAAGCTGCTCTGAATGAAGCGTGTCCTTTGTTGCAAGTCCTACCAGTTACCTGCCACGGGAACTGATGAGCTTGTCTGGGTAGTAACTCCATCAGTAATGGGATCCGCTGCCGCTTGAGTGGAGCCATGTGTGGAGTGTCGTTACTTCCCTCTGTGGGGCTGACCCTTCGCGTTCCTGTGAGCTGAGGACTAATAGAGCTCATTACGCTTTATGGGAAAAGAGCTTTTATCACCTCGTCAAGTCAGGCAACATATTTCCATTCTAGTCCCAACTTTGTGTGGCTCTGTGGTTGCCGATGTGCGCTCCCTGCTAAGTTTACACCGGCCTCTCCTTACAGACGTTTTTATTGACGTTTCCAAACCTGAATTACATTTTGTGTGGCACCACCCACAGATGTCTTCAATTAAGTGTAGGTAAGTAAAGGGATTATATATCAGAGGCCGAGAGATTCTTGAAATTCTCCTCTGAGTCAAGCCCTGCCAGCCGGTGTGGTAGGGGGCAGCTCAGCACCATTCTGGAGGTGAAGCCCCAGAGGGGCCTCTGGAAGGAACTGAACTGAGTGTGACTGCCGGCTATGGGGCTTCTCTTCAGAGGTGTCCTTCCAGCCCTTCATTTCAGGTCAATTAAGTCTTCAGTTGCAGTTACTAAAAAGAAGTTGGCACTGACAGTGTGGCTACTGTGCTAAGCTCTGCTTCCCTTGTTTCAGTTCTCACAAAGTGTCCATGAGGTAGATGTTCCCCACTTGCTCATGAAGCACATTGAGCCTGGAGAGGCAGGTGAGGGGAGGTCCGGATCACAGCTGTTTACGTGAGCAGCAGCAGCAGGCAGGAGTGCTGATGGCACTGCTCTGAGCCTCGGGGCTCAGGAAGTGACGTCACTTATTGGAAGGAAGACAGTGATGAGTGGGAGATGGATTCTGTAAATGCTAGAGCAAGCTTTCCAGCCTCGGCGCTGTGGGCGGGTCGGTTCCGTCTTTGTTGTGGGTGCTCTCCTGAGCAACACTCCCGTCTCCTACCCACACCAAGGCCAGGAGCACCCTCGGTCTGAGCTTGGGAGGGCGGGGGACACTGCCCTAAAGCAGCCTTAGAGAAAGAAAAAGGAGACAGTTCACAATCCAGTAGTGAAGACAACACGAGAACACAACTTTCAGTCTCTCAGGTCTGGGAAAAGAAGGAAAGCTGAACAGAGAACAGGTGAGACAGCTAGCAAGATGGCCCGCTTGAACCCACTGCTATTGATTTTATATTAAACTAGAGGCCCGGTGCACAAAATTAATGTGGGAGGGTCCCCTCAGCCCAGCCTGCACCCTCTTCAGTCTGGGACCCCTTGGGGGATGTCTGACTGTCAGGATGGAGCCTAAACATCCCTCTCACAATCCTGGAACACTGGCTCCTAATCACTCATCTGCCTGATTGGTCCTAACTGCCTATCCCTAAAGGCTTGGTCACCCCTAACTGCCCCCTGCTGCTGGCCAAGTCCCCCAACTGCCTCCTTCCTGCTGGCCTGGTCGCTCCAACTGCCCTTCCTCTCCCTCCCCCCCCACTGCCTGGTCACTCCTTGCTGTCCCCTCTTGCTGGCCTGGTCACCCCAACTATCCCCCTCTGCCAGTCTGGTCGCCTCTAAATGCCCCCCCCTTACCGGCCTGGTCAACCCCAACTGCCTCCTTCCCCCCACCCCACCCCACCCCCGCCTGTCTGGTGCCCCCATGCAGCCTGCTTTTCAGTCGTTTGGTCCTCCCTCACTAACCCCCCTGCCAACCTGGTCATAGGCAGCCATCTTTGTGAGGGCATGAGGGTCAGTGTGCATATTACCTCTTTATTATATAGGATATAAATAGTCTAAACCCGTGGTCGGCAAACTGCGGCTCGCGAGCCACATGCGGCTTTTTGGCCCCTTGATTGTGGCTCTTCCACAAAATACCCCGGCTTGGGTGAGTCTATTTTGAAGAAGTGGCATTAGAAGAAATTTAAGTTTAAAAAATTTGGCTCTCAAAAGAAATTTCAACCGTTGTCCTGTTGATATTTGGCTCTGTGGACTAATGAGTTTGCCGACCACTGGACTAAACCAAAGCTCAGCTGTGTGGAAACGTTCTCCATCTGCACTGTCCCATCATGTATGTTGCTAATGTCTTACATAGCTATGTGCTTGTTAGGAACCAGATTTTAAATTTCCTTAAATGTTAGTTAACCTATGTAGCTGAAACTTGTGTGGCCAGATCTGCATCAAAAGACACCCAGTAATTTTCCATATGATGGGGATCATATTTTCCATTTTACAGTGTTATATTTTTACTTAACTTGGAGGAATGTTCATGTTACTAAAAAGTCTTGGTAAAAATAATTTTTAATTATTAACAGTTGCTCATATGAATGTACTATAATTAGCTTCTTTATTGTTTTGTTTAATTTGGTTCTTTAGTGTACTGATTGCCAGAAAATTAGGAATTTGTTGCATTTGATTTTTAAATCACTTTTACAAAACTTGTTAACCTAACCCTAAGTGTTGGTGTTTGCAGTTTCCAAATTAAACTTATTTTTAAATTTCTTACTATAGACTATTTCAAATTTTCAAGTTTAGTTTTTATTTTTCTTAAATAATGTAGATTTTGATGCCATAATGATTTAACACACCTTTGGGTTTCTATTTTTAAAAAATGAATCCAAAGTTTAGTATATACAGTATTTCATGAAACTATTAACGAAAGGCAAAACAGTGACTGAGTTCTTGTGAAGCATTGCTTACTTTTAGTCATGCTTAGAAAGAGGTCCTTTGGAGGCCTCCAAGCTGTTGTTTAAAACGTTCAGGGCGCCAGGTGTCTGATCGAGGCTTGTGGTGAGCACCTGTTTGGGGAGGCCCTTTTGGTGCCGCGGAAGGAAGGAAGGAGGACACAGACTCTGCTCCCCAAGCCCCGGAAGACGGAAGACATTCCCTGTCCCATCTCTGGGCCCCCTCCCCCCCACCCCCCACAGAGTCACCTCAGTGCTGGGCGGGTGACTCCCCCTTTGAGTGTGAGGAGTGTGTTTTAAGCATAACTGAGAGACGAGGAGGCAGAGGGTCAGGACACAGGTGCACTTCTTCAGAGGGAATGGTCACTCACTGGGGAGCAGCTGGACCTGAAGCCTGAAGCGGCCTGTTAGCATTGGTGGCATCCGCCAGCGCCCGGGACACAGCGTGCTGCTGCCTCAGTAACCACAGCCGCCCGCCATCCCCCTGGTTTGAGGCGGGCTTCCTTTTGTGTAGCTGGTGGTGAGCTTTATTGTACTTTTCCTGTTGTCAGCTAAATCCTAGAAATGAGGAACTTTTGAGAAATAACTTTGCTTATTCTTTTACACAATCAAATCTGTATAAACTGCAGGCATGAGAAAGATAAACTATTAAATAATTGCTATCACATCACTTATGTATGAGGAGACTGAAGTTAAATGCTGTTGTTAGTTTAAATAACTTTGCTATTAAATGAATGAGCCACAGGTGTAACTTCATAGACATAATCTTTTAGAATATGCCATTCAAACCCTTAAACCAAAAGCTAAAACTGACCCAAATCTGCAGGATGCTTTTGTTTGTACATTATTTGTTTCTTACAACTTCCTTTGAGCTTGATGATTCCTATTTTTAAAATGTAGAAACAGACTTTTAAAATAAGTTAAATTATTGTCTGGGATCCGTTTATAACTCTATGGTTTCGTGATTATATTGCTTGATCGACTCCTGGATTTCAGGTTTCTCAGCTGTGATAGGATGGGGGTCAGAGTAGGTCGCTCTCTGGCTTCCTTTTCAAGGATTTGAAGGCAGCCCACATCTGCAGATGGGGAAGGTCCCTGCTTTCACATGAATTGAGAGAGGGGAATGATGCCCGTGGCAGGGCAAACTGCTCATTGAAAGCAGTGAAATGAAATGGAAGCAGATTATTAAAAGCGAAGTCCAGGGAATGAGAGAAATAATGGTTTTTGGAAACTGAGAAGGTAATTGCAATTTTAAAAACTATTTCAAGCTGATACACAAATTTGTCTAACTAGCTCTTTTTGTTTGTTTTGTTACTCCTCACCTGAGGATATTTTGATGATTTTTTTTTCTTTTTTGAAAGAGTCGAAGGGAGGGGGAGAGACAGAGAGAGAAGCACCGATGTGAGAGACATTGACTGATTGCCTCCTGCAGGTGCCAAACGAAGGTGAGCCTGCAACTGAGGCACAGGTGCGTGCCCATGACCAGAATGAAATCCGAAACATTTCAGTCTGCGGGCCAGCTCTGTCCACTGAGTCAAACTGGTTATGGCCTCATTAGCATGTGACTAGGAGGTTTCTGACAGTACAGCGCCCCCCTTATCATCTCCGGGTCACTGCAGGGCTGCTCTCCTGTGCGATTATTTCTAAGGACAGGGAGCTGCTTTCCTGTGGCCCTCAGGGCTCACCTCTGAAAGACGGTTCTGGTAAAATGCCAGGACATGCAGGAATTTCTTTCTTTCTTCTGGCATAGTTGGAGTTTTCTAGCTTCTGAAACAGGTGGTTAGACTTCAGCCTTACAGCTGTTGGTGTCAGTTCAGGTGGTGCGGCTAAGACAGGTTCACTCACCTGTCCTCTCGAAGCTGCTAGGGAGAGAAGAGGCACTGCTAGGAGCAAAGCTCTGTGTGGCAGGGAGTGCTGAGACCGGGGTTGGCATCGTTCATCACAGCTAGTGGAAGCTCTTAAAAGTTTAAGATGTGTTTATTGCCCAAGCAGTACATTAACTACAGCAGTGGGCGTTAGAGACACATGGGTACTGCTGGCCCCTCACTGCGTCCTCGTGCTGGTGTGGTCGACCTTGGTCACCGGTGCAGGGCTTCCCCTTCCATCAAACGGCCTCTTTGGAAGTGGCTCTGTGCAGCCACACTGGAGTAGAGAGTTAGGCTCCCTGCCTTCAGGTTTTCATTGATTTTTAGAGAGAGGGGAAGGAGAGGGATAGAAAGAGAGACATCTATCAGCTGCTTCCTTCACACCTGAGCATGTGCCCCATCCGGCACTCAGACAGGTGACCTCTTGGTTCCTGGGTCAGTGCTCAACCACTGAGCCACACTGGCTGGGCAGTACTACTTCATTTTAGTATTTCAGCCCAGGCCTTCGGAGCTCTTTCACTTGCCGTGCCGCGCCCCCCCCCCCCCCCCCCCCGCCCCAGTCCCTTTGATATACCGCCACTAATCGGGGTTTCTTTTTCCTCTTTTTGAGTCCTTCCTTGTTTTTGGCACTACAAGATACTTTAGGCTCATCTTGTACATTTCCTTCCTCAGTCCTGGACTCAGGCATTCCTCCAGAGATAAATGGTTCCTTTTATTGCAGAATGGAGAAACCGAGATCAGGCGCTAGGTGTGCTTGTCACTACTGGGGGTCATTTCTCTTAGGCCTCATCTCACAGAACAAGTGCATACATGTGTGTATGCTGACCCTTCCATGTACATATCGGTGACAAACTGCTCATGTGTGTCTGTTTTCACAGCCAGAGAATCCCCCGAATGGACCCGACTGTGGCTATGGCTCCTTTCACCAGCAGTACTGGCTGGACGGGAAGATCATCGCAGTGGGGGTGATTGACATCCTTCCCTACTGTGTGTCGTCTGTGTATTTGTACTATGATCCTGATTATTCGTTTCTGTCCTTGGGTGTCTACTCGGCACTACGGTAAGATTGCCTTAGACAGTTGTTAGGGTCATATAGAACTTCCAGCAGTTCCTCATTTGATTATGTTTCATCACAGAACAGTAGAAATCCTATTGTGATAGTACATGTAATTTGTTGCTACAGTCGTCTCTTTACACTAGTATGTTGGTATTTAGAAACCCCACTATGAGAACTAAGGCAGTGTCTGGTGGTACTTCCCAAACTTTTGAAGGTCTCCATCCATCTGCTCTAGTGCATGAGAAGTCATTGTATTTGAGGGATGCTTTTGTTGTTTAGTTTATGCATTTATTTAAGCTCCCCTGTCAGAACCACTTAATGTTCCTTAAATGTGGTATTATTTATTTATTTTTCTTGTCATCAGTGTTGTATACAGTGTTTTCATAAAGATTAAATGAATCTGGCACAATGAATTGAAATATGCAGTTATATAAAATAGATTAGGCCCAAGAATCCCTCATCGGACAATGACTTCCCATGAATGTCAGGTGCAAATACGTGCAGCACAGCACACATACCTTCAGTGCATTATCCTAAGGTAAAGGGATCGGGACTTTATTCCATGAAAATACTTGTTTCGTTTTTATTCTTGCTGTTCCTGTGTGTAACGGGTGGGAGGGGATGGAGAATAGCTTTTCTGTTTGGGAGGTCAGGCCTCTTTGGTCCTGTGCAGCCCTGCCCGCCTTTCCCTGAGAGCCCTAGAGGTGGAGCTGCTGAGCTTGTGGAGGAGAGAGACCTAGAAGATCAGTATTTCAGAGCAAAATCCGCGCCAGTAGATCACAAGTTTCACTTCTGTCCTTACCGACTTGAATGCAGTTCAGTGAAACCTGTTCAGGTAGCTTTTCCCTCCAATCATTTAATAAATACAGGTTTTTGTATTTATTATAGATTTTTCTATAATCTAAATCAATATAGATTTTTTAAAATACATTTTATTGATTTTTTTACAGAGAGGAAGAGAGAGGGAAGATAGTTAGAAAAATCGATGAGAGAGAATTATCTATTAGCTGCCTCTTGCACACCCCCTGCTGGGGATGTGCCCACAACCAAGGTACATGCCCTTGACCAGAATCGAACCTTGGACCTTTCAGTCTGGAGTCCGACGCTCTATCCACTGAGCCAAACCGGTTTTGGCATCAGTATAGATTTTAATGTAATCTAGTCTGCAGATTTAAAAAAATGTTTGAATTGGCGATCTTGAGCATGGCTTTTTTTTTTTTTTAAAGATGTATTTTAGAAATGTAATTAATTAGTTTAGTAGATGCTTACTTGAGTTCTATTTATGGGTTCAAAAGCCAAGAACATAATTCTAGGCCCTCTGTTGTGCTGTGACAAACCATGGTGAGTGAGGTGCAGTTGAGGATCAGAACAAAGGAAAGGAGGCAGCTATGTAAAACCTGGGGTAGAAGTCCGGGTGAAGCGGCGGCAAAAACACCCTGAGGAGGTGGAGGAAAGAGAAGAAGGTGGTACAGCTAGGGTGTCAGTAACTATGGACAGTGATGTGCAAGGGGGCGCTGGCCACGGTGAGGAGGGCAGTGGAGCAGGGCTTGCAGGTCATGGTAAAGAGGTTGGACTTTTAAGTGTGATACCAGCCCACTGCCAGCATGAGGTCACCTGATCTCCTTAATAAATAACAACAAGAAACCACACTAAATAGATCTCTTTAACTTTATGGTGTTTGCATTTTAGATTAATCACTATCTATGTCCAAAATAGTGTAAAACCTGAATTTAGATGCATTTGCTCAAAAGAAGTTAGAGGGTTTTTTTTGTATCTTTGTATTAAAAATCATTTCAGTGTTTTTAAAATAGTTCTTTCAACACTTGGATTTTTTTTGATAGCTTAGTATCAAATTTTATCAAATATTTGGCATCAATTTACATAGTACTTTCACTATTGGAACTAGGTATAATTGTATCTTCTTTATTCTTTTGACAGAGAAATTGCTTTCACTAGGCAACTTCATGAAAAAGCATCTCAGCTCAGCTATTATTATATGGGTTTCTACATTCATTCATGTCCCAAGATGAAATATAAGGTAAGATTGATTTCACACGTGTCTGCTATAGGTCCAATTTATGAAAATTCATGCTTTCATAGTTTGTCATCAGAATAGCTTCACTTTCTTGTACATTTCTGATGAACATCAACAAATTATTGTTAAGCATCTTCAGTCTTTCACAGTGCCTAGCCTGCTCATCGCCTTGCATAGTACTTACCCATAGGCACTTAGTAGTTGTTTAGTGTAGTTGATCTGCAGGAATTTGCTGACAATGTAGAAATCCTAGCTATTCTGGGTAAATTTACATGCTTTTTCTGAATGAAGCCTGGGGAAAATCAGTTGAGAATTCAGGAAAGTGGGGGAAAGTATAATAATTTTGCCACAAAAATTAAAGCTGAGTAATCCCCATAGAACTGTTACTGGTTGGAAGGATTCACCAGCATCAAATTTAAACAAGGGGAGCAGTGACATTTTTAGGAAGAAGACAGGTGTGGGGTTGCTCTAGCAGCTGGTTTTGTGTGTAGCTGTGGCCGTGTTGTTGGGGTTTTGTGGCCTTGTCTGCTATTAACACTGTGAGTGTAATATTAATCAGTTTTATCTCCTGAGTACATGCATGGTGTTCCAAGAAATAAGTGTTGGAAGCAAAGTAAGTTTATAAATCGTTCATTTCCACTTGGGAGTTCTTGTAGTGCTACTAATATGCTAAGAGATCCAAACCTTAGGCTTTTGGAAATAGTGATTTTGCTGGCGTTTTCCAGAGTTTTAGTATTCTCTATAGGCTAGTTCGTTTTAATGCTGCCAGGCCTTAGGGATCTGAAGGCAGTGTTTTGGCTGAGTTCATTATCCATATCTGTCTGTGGCCAGAGTTAGCAGGGATTGCAGGCAGTCGGCGTGGGTGTCATGGCGTGGCCATACATCAGATGGTTGAAACAGCAGAAAGGTCTCGGAAATATCAGTAAAGAAACAAAAGGCTAATTAGCTGTGATGAATCATCTTAAACTCGGTGCCTCCACTTGACCATGGTCTAACAGCAGGGGCACACGCAGTGCCAGCGCTGCTGCTGGTTGGAGGGAGCGGATGACCTCACAGTTTCTGCATGGACAGAGCCCAGCATACAGCTTCCTGGAGCTAATGCCCTGTGACCATAGAGGCATTGCAGTAGGGCTTCCGATGCCTCCTGCTGGCGGTGGGGTTAGAAACATCACACACTCATCACAAACTCTTATGCTTAAATTGTTAAGTTTTAGGTTTTGCTGCGTCAGAGTCAAAGGCAGTTTCCTCAGGGCCTCGTGTGCTGAGCTTGCGTCACTGATGTGAGCGAGTGGGAACTCCGTGGGGCTCAGGGGCCCAGAGTCTGGAGGGGCTCACATCTTTTTCCTGGGAATCCTGAGGCTCTGCGTGGCATGGAGGAGGTGGGTCTCTGGGGGGTGGGGGGAGGCGGATCATGGCAGGGGAGGGCAGTTAGTCAATCAGGCCAGCAGGGGAGCAGTTAGGCGTTAATCACACTGGCAGGGAGTGGTTAAGGGGTGATCAGGCAGGCAGGCAGGCAGGCAGGCGAGTGGTTAGGAGTCAATGGTCCCAGATTGTGAGAGGGATGTCTGACTGCCCTGAGGGGTGGGCCTAAACCGGCAGTCAGACATCCCCTGAGGGGTCCTAGATTGGAGAAGGGTGCAGGCTGGTTTAGGGACACCCCCCTTGTGCATGAATTTTATGCACTGGGCCTCTAGTGTTCTTCATAATCACGTAGATGAGCATTGAGAAAGGAAGGAAACAGTTATCCCTTGAGCTTGCTGACGTGTGGGTCCTCCCCCCGCTGTCATAGTAGCCTTCTCCAAGCCCTTCCTTGCTAAGACATAGAATCCTGGTGACATTAAGGCCATAGGATGTGATTATACGGGACTCCTGCTGCACGGGTGAGGAGGAAGGTTATCCTCAAGCCTGAAGCATTTAAATGCCTGTGATGAACTTCCCATCAGGCAGGAAAAAGAATGATTACCAGAGGTCACACCCTGCGACACAGGGTTCAGCTAACTTCTATTTCCCTCGGGAACACACAGCCTCAGGAGTAAGGCCTTCATAATCACTGAAAATGTTTACGGGAATACCAGCTTCAGATGGAGGCGTGGGGCGAGGCAGCTGGCTCGGTGTGGAGCGGTGCTTCGTGGCGTGGGCAGCAGTTGTTTGCCGGGTCCTCTCAGCCTGAAAGCTAAAGCCGCCAACGTGTTTCTCTGGGTCCAGCCCCCGAGGGCGCTCCTTGGCAAGACTCCATGAACAGGACACGGGCCTTGCTGGTGCACTGGAGGGGTTTAGTCTGAATGTCTGGTTTTAACTGAAATTTTAACAGATTAAGCTCATCTTGGCTTTGCCAGTGATCGGCCTTAAGTCACTTGACTTTTCTCTCTCCCGCCCCTCTTTTAAATATTAAAATGAGACTGGAGACTGCGTCGGGAGACCTAAGGCTCTTCTACTTTTAAAATGGCCTGATTTTCTATTTTTAAGGAATACAGTGTGACACTGTTTAGTTTAAGTCAGCAGTTATTCACTAAGTATTGAGAGCTCAGTCCAGACAAGGTATTCTGCCCAGGCACAAGGAAGGCAAAGAAATGCTGCACTTCAGGTCTCGGGGAAACTCTTGGTTGGGGTATGTGGGGGCAGAAAGGGGGGCACAGCGGATAGCAGGACCCAGGTGCACTGCGTTCTAGGATGGGCTTCCCGGTGGCACTCGCTGTGTGCTGTGCTTTTCCTCGCCTGTTTGCCAGACGGTGCCATGATGTTTCTGTGATTATAAAGTTGCCTCCCTCCTGGGAGAGGTCCCTGAGAACTGAGATGGGCGCGCTGTTCCCCCCGGCACACCCAGGACGCTGGCTCGGAGCCCGGCAGGTGGTGGTATTTACTAGTTACCTGCTGCCCTGCAGGAATGAGAGCCAGGAGCCAGGTCCTGCCTGAGAGGAAGGAGCAGGTGGTGTGAGGGGATGCCGAGCCCAAGGTGCAGTGGGCATTCGGACAGTGAGCGGTCACCGGCCCACAGCCGTGCTCCGTGCTTAGAGCAGAGCCCTGGGCAGTGCGGGTGAGGAGGCGGCTGGCACACGCAGTGCCCGGCTCAGCCAGGGAGCAGCAGCGCCGGGTCCACGCAGCTTTGGGTGTGGACTGTCAACACAGGGCAGACGGTCACTTTACACACGAGGGTCTGGGACCAGTAAAACCTAAGCTCGTTTCAAAGCCGAGGGAATTGGTCGTGCCTTTTCATCTTGGGTAACTTCTCGTCAGCTGTAGCTAAGATCCCTGGCCTCTGGAATGGTTTCACTTTAAAAAGGAGTGATTCTTCTTACTGTAGAGATTGCGGAACCCGGAGGGGTTTCGTAGAGAGTTTACCCTGATGGTGGCAGGGAGCTGGGCTCATCAGGGAGAATGTGGAGTCAGCTCCCAGGTCTGCCTGTCACCCGAGAGGAGTGTCAGAACCAGTGACTGGAACCGCTCCAAGCAACAGCTGAGAGAGCAAACACACAGCTGATGCCTTTCCTCCGTGCGGCGAAGGCCAGATTTAATATGCACACACCTACATGCAGACACTCACTTAGCACCTTCACCTGCAACAGAAGTTAGAGACTTCCAATTTTACTTTTCATTTTCTCTTTATTTTCTTTGTCTTCATCTTTCATCCTATTTCTTTCTCTTTATCTTCTCTATCCTTTTCAACTTATGACCCTTCAGGTTGAAATTAAATTTGGGCTGTAAGTTGACTCCTTGAATCTTTTCTTCACAAGCTTTCTTTGTATTTTCTAGAAGAAAAAAAGATTAACCCAGGGTTTTCAAAATAAAAGCAAAGATTGTGATTAAAGCTGAATTAGAATCTTTATTCTGTATTACTTGCTACTAGTAAAATAAATAGCCCCGTCTTAAGGAAGCTTTAGAGCAAGTCCTGGAGCCTTTGCCAGTCCTGGATTTTAATTAAAGAAACACAGAACTCCATCACTTCTGTTTGTCAGAGGAAGAAATATGTAATTTTAGGTTTTCAAAGCTTAGCCTGCAGCACATGGAGCGCATCTGCTGCCTTTCAGAAATGGGGAGCACAAATGGATTCAGATGTTTGGGCCCTTTGTCTTCCCATCTCGGCTCCCCTCGCCGCTGAGCGGGCGCAGCCTGAACACCGTTTCTGAAAACAGAGCGGCTTGAGTTACTTCCCAAGCACTCTCCTGGGGACCCACAAGTCAGCCTCTGTTTATGTAAGGAGCCAGGGAGCAAGGGTCTGCGCGGGGCTCCTCGACGGCTCCGCGGTGTTGTCTTTCAGGGGGAAGACTGGGTTTAATAACCCCGTCCCCCTTTCTCTGAGGTGCTGCCCACTCTAATGGGTTGTTTTCAACTGGTTCTGTTTATGTAGTGTTAGAGCGTCTCTGTAGGCGAGTGGTTTAGGTAAAGCCAATTGGTTTGTTGTAGAAAATGGGATACCTGTCAGCTTTACCTGAGGGAGGACTTTAATCTTTCTTTCTGCTCAGTGCTTCTCTCCCCCTTGCTCCCTCCCTCCCTCTCTCTTTCTCTCTTCCCCCTCCTCTCTGTATTTAAACAATATTGCCTTTTTTGTATTCTTACATTTTTATTGAACTTTCAAAACAAACTGCTGGTTTATCCTTTTCTCAAATACTCACAAAATCCTTCGAATTTTTCAAAATGTTTATGAAGTATTCTTGAGAGTGAAATCTCATAAAGATCTTTGCTTCAGGACCAGAGTTCAAAGGAAAGTCCGTTTGGTTTTAATTTGAAAACTGTAAAAACAAAGTTCCCTCAAAATGGCAGGGTGCGAATTGGGAGCCTCAGTTTTATTGCAATCGGCCAAGCCCATCCCCAGATGTTTCCAATTAGAAGCCAGGAACGCTCACTTGGGTGGATATCATATGAAAGCATTTCTTTGCTTTTCTCTGATTATTTTTTTTTTCTGAGAAAAATAACAGTCTCAAGTTCTTTAACTTTAATTAAAGAAATAACTTCTTTTTTGCATGTTTAAACTTGCGCAAAGAAAAATAATATTCAGAGAGAATTCTTACATGTCAGGTTTGTAAACATATATAGACCTGAATACATAAGGGTTTACATATATCTTATGAATGCCAAAAAAAAAAAAAAAGTTTGTAAAAGATGCTAAAGCCTTTTTGAAATTAAAGTCATGCATTTCTGGATTTACTATAATCAAAGAGTAGACTTTTTAACACTTGACTTTGTTTGAAAGGGAGTAGTCAGTCATTCCATTCAGGATCGTTACAGGGAATTTTCCATTTTAATATAAAGAGCAAGTTTTTCTCTCATTGTTGATCAGCTGTACATTCAGTTGTAAGAAGTTCTTCTGTAGGAAGATGGGAAGATGTAATCAGATAAAAGAAACATCCCAGAGTTCCTCTGGAATTTCTATAATGCTTTTTAGACTTCTCTTTATCAGTTTAGATTGCTCATGGAAGTGGAAGTATATTGACAAGACAGTACTTTTTAATTTATTAGAATGAAATGAAATTGTCAACTGAGTCTACAAAGTGAGAATTTTGTGACTAAGGATGATGAAATTTTATTTTGGGAAATAAGTTCATTTCCTATATAAACTATATAAAATACTCTCATACATGAAAATAAATTTCCCTGTGTTATTAGCTAGCATTTAAAAGACAACTTGATTTTGAAACTGGGTATTTTTAGCAATTAGCTCAGCAAAAATCATATGTCAATTATTGCTCCCAAAAGAAATAGAAACCCAAATCTTCCAGGTTACACAGGCCTCCCAGGTCACTCAGGCCCTGGGATGCCCTGTGCACTGTCGGATGGGGCGCGGGCACTGATGGAGTTGCTGAGCCTTGACAGGAAAGCTGCTCTGGCCACCTTTCTTCCATTGTGGCTAAGCCCTCCCCTGAGCCTCGCAACCAGGGCGCCCCTGTGGTGGTCATGCCTTTTCCCTCGTGTCTCCTCAGGGTCATTACAGACCTTCTGACTTGCTGTGTCCTGAGACCTACGTGTGGGTGCCCATCGAGCAGTGCCTGCCTTCCCTGGAGAACTCCAAGTACTGCCGTTTCAACCAGGACCCTGAAGCAGGTATGTGAGCAGAGCTGGATGGGAAGCCGTGGCTCCTAACAGGGTCCAGAGAGCTTTCTACTAGTCTGTATTGTAGAGTGTGCGTGCATGCGTGCATGCATGCGTATAAGGAGCCATGTGCACACAGAGCTTTGCAGATGAATGCGGAAACTCGTGTGTGTGCTCCTGGCTAATCGAGCTCCTCATGCGACTGATTAGCTTTCACATCTGCTTGAGGGCTGACTCAATCACCCGTTAGTTACTTTTACTCTGAGAGGGCGTAAGAGTTCTTCCCCATATTTCTTAGCCACCAAGACAGAAATGCTGACCAGTTGGACTGAGTGAAGGTGTGGAGTGGTTTCAGGGTGGAGCTGGGCACAAACAGGCTGGGGCAAGTTTGGTTTTGTGGTATTTTGTTGGCTTTCTTCTTGCATCTCTGTGCTGCTCCTTTTCTGTCCCTTCTCTTATATGTGTGTCATTGATCTCTGTTCCCTTTTCCTAAAGTACTGACAGTTTTAAATATTAGTATGTTTTTTAAATTGATTTTAAAGGGAGAGGAGAGGAAGGGAGGGGAGGGGAGGGGAAAGAAGGAGAGGGGAGGGAGACATTGAGGTGAGAAAGAAACATCCATCGGCTGCCTCCTGTATGCACCCAACCAGGAGTTTAACCCGCAGCCTGCACATGTGCCCTGACTGGTAATCAAACTAGTGAAAGGTCACCCAGCCACTGAGCCACACTGGCCAGGCTGTATGAATTTTTTTCAATACATATTATATTGGGGGATTTTTTTGGAGATTTGTGACAATTTGAAAAAAGATAAAACACGTAGCCTAGAATAGGAAAAAAACAAACAAACAAAAAAAAAGCAACCCACACACAAGAAAAAGCTATGTCATGAATGCATAAAATACTGTGTATAGGTAGTAGTGTATTTGTGCCATAAAATATGCACAAATCTATTGTAAAATATGACATAAAATTAACAAAGCTTACACACATAACTGCAGACTACATGGCACCATTTGCTGTGGAGGAAAATGTAAACAAACATAAAGGTGCATTATTAAATCGTAACTCTGTGGAGAGCTGGGAGGGGGGATTATGATCATGTGGAGAGCTGGGAGGGGGGATTATGATCATGTGGAGAGCCGGAGGTGGTGCGATGTGTGAGCATAATGTGCTCGAAACGAGAACAGGAACCAGGTGCTCCTTTCCCTTTGCTGTCGCTTCCCCCAGGAGGGAGGTGGTGACCTAGCACGTGGTAAGTGTTTCCTGTTTTAGAGCCACGACTTTTCTGCTTCAGTGGGATATGAAGTTATACAGACAGCACACTGTGAAGTCGGTGGTCCAGCCAGGGCTGCAGAGCACTGCAGGGTTACCACGGAGAGCAAATGCCTGATGCGGGGCACTGGATGCGTGTGTGTGATGTGCGCCCCGCGGCACCGAGAGGCGGCCGGAGCTGGGCAGCAGCAGGAGGCTGGCCACTGCCTGGCTGAGAGGAAGGCGCCAGGGGCCAGGCTGTCCCAGAAGATGGAACCTGACAACATCGAGAGCAGCAGGAGCCGCTGGCAAAGCAGAGTCTGAGAGGAGAGGGGAGAGGTTGGGGAGACGTCCTGGTGTGGGCAGAGCGAAGGCCCTGGGATGGGGATGGGGATGGAGCAGCCTTGAGGAGACTGCCTCCTGCCACGCTGTGCTTCCACTGATCTCCCCTGAAGACATCCTGGACCGGGGAACCTGAAACTGCGCCGGACTTCGCTCTGTGGAGTGAGGGCCTCTGGCTGCGTCCTGGGGCTCCCTGGTCCTCACCCATCCGCGCTGCCCAGGCTGGTGCTCAGTGGAGGCTTGGTCTCCGGCCTGTGGGACCTCTTTGGGAAAAGCCGCGGAGGCTGGCACTCCATCACGGGTACCTGGGCAGGCTCAGGAAGCAGTCAGCCTCCAAGACCTGAATTTGCCTTCTCAGAGGTGATGGAGGCAGGCAGCCCTGGCCTCTCAGGGCTGAGGGGCTCCATGCGCTGTCTCCCCGACACGGAACTTGATGGATCCTCGTCAGCCCGTGGCTGTCTCGTGGAGGACATGGTGTCATTTGAAGAGTCCATGTTGATTATGTAGAATTAGGAGCAGCTGCCAGAAATGGACACCTAAAGCAGGTTGGTGCAAGCAGCCAGTTTGATGTCAAGTTCTGACATGGCCGTCTGGTTCCACAAAGCCTCCCGTACCCAGAGTCCTTCGTGGTTTTGCTTTGGTTGAGCTGAGGGAAAGCTCTTCACCCCAGGCTCCCAGGCAGAGACCAGGTCTCCTGTGACACCCGTGTTCCTCTGGCACCCAGTGAGCTACTGACACCCAGAAGGTCCTTACTGGAAAAGCAGACCGACAGTGGCAGCCACAGCAGGCTCCGCATGTCCTCCGTGACCCCTGCCACGACAGGGTGCCCACTGCCCTGATCCGGCCGCGTGGGTCCGCCAAGACTGCCCGTGGCAGGAGGCTCGGTGCAGAGGGAACCCTCCGGGGTGGGCCGACTCGAGGATCGGCATGTCCGGGTCAGCCTGCGCAGGAAAGACCCTCCTGGGAGTGAGTGTGTGAGACGGTGACAAGGCGTCGGGCACAGTGTTTCAGGTGCACACAGTTCTGTCTCCCTGACGGGCCAGGAGCGCACCCTCTCTCGGCGTCGGGGTGGGTCTGACCTGCCTAGGTGGGTGCTCGTGCTGTGTGCCCTCGCCTGAGCCCTCTGCTCGGAGGGGGCGTCTCGGTGCTTCTGTCTGTGTGTGCGTGTGTTGCGAGTTAGGAAGAGGGTGTGCTCTGTGCCTTTCTAACCGTGTTTTGTTGTTGCAGCGGATGAAGGTGGCAGCACGGACCCCGACCGGCTGCAGGTGCTGTACAAGAAGTCCATCCTGCCGTACGGCGTGTTCAAGCGGCAGCAGCGGGAGCCGGGCGAGGAGGCCGCCGTGCTGCAGTACGCCCGCCTCGTGGGCCAGGCCTGCTCCGAGCGGATGCTGCTCTTCCGCAGCTGAGCCGCCCGGCCGCCCGCCCCACGCCGCGCAGGCTCCCGGGCCGCCCCGCGGCTTCCTTACTCCGACTCTCGTACGGCTTTTGTGAACTCTTTTGTGGCAATGTGTTTGTGGAAACCTCATGGTTAATTTAAAGACTTAAAAAATATGTTATGACCTAGCTCCATAATTGAGATTTATAATCTCGAAAGTTTGTTTTATGAACAAGACATGGTAAACTTCTCTCACTGTCAGTATTTTAGAAAGTAAAGTCAATCCGTGAATCATAAGTAATGTTAATTGCAGCTGTGCCTTTTTCTGTTAGAATTCAAAGCAGACTGTGTCCTTGGATCCATTTAAAACGTTAGTTTACGCTAAAAGACAGACAAAACCCTTCCGTGTGGGGAAGAGGTGGGCGTGCTTCTCGCTTAGAAATGTCTCAGGAGAAGAACTGCTGTTGGTTTCCAGCATTGTCACTGCGAGTGTCTCAGTGGGGTCAGGAGGGAGCGGGGAGGCAGGTGCGAGGTTGAACAGGTGTTTTGGGCCGGGTCTGTTTACCCCGCGGTCCTGCTCATTGCCGGACTGGCGTGATGTCTTCCTGGAAGTTGTTGCGAGTGCTCCCCTCACTCTCCAGGCGTCCCTGTTGGGTTTACCGTGGGTCCATCATTGGCTCTGTTTGTAAACGTTTAAGAAGTGAGTTTCTAAAGAAAAACGTGGGCTCCTGCCTTCACTGGCTGTTCATGCCTCAGGACCGATAATGCTCGTCTTTGGCTCTTGATTGAGAATTGGTTCCTGTCCGAATGCGTTCATCGCTCATCACTGTGGCACAGCCCCATTTCATTACGAGGAACCATTGACCTCCGCTCCAGGGTGGGTGACACTATGGCTCGCCCTTCGGGGTGTCACCGGGGATGCCCCGCTGGCCACTGAAGTGAAGGCGCCCCTGCCCCTCCCACTTCCTTTTGTTTAAGCAAATGCCCCTGTGGCCACGGTCAGGGTGGCTGCTGAGGACGAGGGCAGTCAGCTGTGGGAGCTCCAGGATAGGTGGTTTTCTCGGTGCTCTCCGCTGACCCCTCGGTCCTGGCAGCCCTATTCTGCCTTGGGTCTGTGTTGTGTTGTGGGAGCCTTTTGAAAATTGTGCTGTAAAGTGCAGTCGGCTGACTCTCACTGCTGCCTTTACATGTTTCTTCTACACGCAGTGAGTTCAGATCAAACATACAATAATTTCAGCCAGTTAGAGCAAAAAGGGGGCTCATAAAACAATGTTTTTGAAGTCAGGTGTCTAGAAATTGAACGTCCAGGTAAACTGCATATCCACTCAGTGCAGCACCGCCGGCCGTGCGCGGTACCACCTGCTGTATGCGGCCACGGCCACCGGGGACAGTGGTGAGCAAGCCGTGCCCTCTGAGAGCAGGGATTTCACGTCCTTCTGGAATTCCCCAAAACAGTCTCCAAGGGCATTCGATGGGCTCTTACTTGTAGCTGCCTTCAGAATCTATAGAAAATTGTTTGTCTCTCGCCCTCTGAAGTGAAAGTAGCCTAATTTTTCTTGTGATTATGAAAGTGATACTGTGAGCAATTAAAACATTAAGGAAAACATAATTGAGAGTAAAAGTAATCTGAAGTCCTGCCATACAGAGAAAGATTTGTCCTGTGCGCACACATAACTTGAACATAAATAGGATCCTGTCTGATGCTGTGTTCTCCCAGGTTGTGGGCCTCGGAAGCTGGAGTTTACGGTGGGATTCGGAAGTGGTGTGAGTGCTCCGGGGTGAGGGCAGGGACGTCCTCGGAGCCCTGGGCACTCGATGTCAGGTCTGGTCGTCGGCCGCCTCCATCCGAGTAGTTGGCAAGTAGAATGCTGTTCGCAAAGACAACACGAGTGTCCGTGAGGAGAGAGCCTGAATCTGGGCACAAGCTGTTTCTGCAGGGTTCCCAGGAGGCTCCTCCGGGGGGCGCCCCCCCCCCCCCCCCCCCCCCCCCGCTGGTCTGCCTGCGGGACCCAGGCTGACCCTGCGGGGGCGCTGTGGCTCCAGGGAGGCCCCGAGGGCCGGGCATGAAGATATGCTGGATTGCTCACGTCACGTGTTGGGGTTTTGTTTGCTTGTTTGTGAGAACAGATAGCAGTGTCCTGATCCCCGTGAGCAGTTTCTTGAGCAGCAGCCATGTGTTGGTTTGCGTCCGGCTGCGTGCTGGTGGTGGCTGGAAGGCGAGGGCGGTCGCGGCCAGTGGCCGCCTTGTCAGGAGATGCACAGCCCAGCTGAGAACTGCTCTCACGCCCTGGATTCCCCAAAAGACAGAACCTGTCAAAGCTGGTGGCTCTGGTCACACCCACCGTCCTGTCTTGGGCAGAAGGTTCTAGAGGTTCCCCATAACCATCGTTCTTCACATTAGTTCTGTTCTGTGGACACTTTTGTTCGCTTATCTTTACAGAGTGTAACCTGAGCACTTTTGACATTCTAGAATATAGAGGTTATTAGATAAATATTTTATCATTTGATTAAAATTAGATAAGGAATTACTGTTCATTTTACTTTCCAACAAGCATATCCTATTTTTTAATCTATTTTGCAAAATATCAGTTGTGTATGGTTGCTTGACATAGTGGAATCTGTTATGTAAATGAACCTTTTCAGGTTTTGAAGGATGTATGGTTTGGTTTTATACGCTTTCTATTATTTCCGTGTGAATAAAGGTGAAAAAGAATATGATGACCACTTACCTAAAATGTGTCTGTCTTTTGCTAACTTTATAGACAAGAAAGGGAAATACAATGGATGTAATTGGGAAATGGTTACATTAGAAGTTGTTCAAACATGTACTTTTGTTCCAAAAGAGACCCAGTACGTGGAAGGCAGGCAGGCTTGCTTGCGTGTTGTATTTTTGCTCTGTCTATTCCTTCAGAGCGGCCCATTGGCTAACGCTGAGTGGAGGAAATGAAGCTGCTCTGTCCGAGGAGGCTCCTGTGGTTGATACACAAAAGACACGTATTTCCACCTGCTCACTCCTGGAGTCCTGTCACTGCGGAACGTGGGAGAGCAGAGCGAAGCCTCGGCTGGGGCGTCGTCAGCTCCCGGTCACTGGTCACTTCAGCCGGAGGAGCCGGGTTCCTTCCTCAGGAAACGCCAGAGGAAGTGTCTCATCCAGCGAGGACCTGGGTTCCCGCAGGGCACACTGGGGACAGACATCCTGTTCCCCAAAGGGACTTGAAGTAAAAGATTTGTTACCAACTCGAATATAATTTCTCTTTAAAAATGCGGTTTACAGAGACGTTTTCCTAAGTAGCGATAAAGCAGTCTGCTTCCACTCGGTGACAGTCTGCAGTGTGTCTGTGGAACACATTGGCAAGTGTTTGTCTTTCCTGGTGAGCTGATGGTAAAACGAACCCAGTTTTCCACGTTATTCAAGTATCAGTTACAATTCCCACGGCGTTTCCCCAGAACAGAAGCAGCTTTAGTGCTGACCTCTGCAGTGACAGAAAGGTGCGCCGGAGTCCGCGAGGCGCTGACCGCCCCACCCTAAGCCCTGGCCTTCACAGGGACACCTGCACGCGTGTAGCCTGTGGCTTTAAATAAAAATGGAATCTTGCCATGGATGCTATTTTGTGATTCCTTATTTGATGTATGCGAATGTCTTAATATATCGTGAATATGCAAATGAGTGAGTGGCCACATGCTGTTCTGCTGTGACTCTCCCTTGTGGGCAGCAGGGCTGTAATTGACTGGTGCTAACAGGTTTTGTCAGTTCTCTGTAATCCTTGGTGATGCCCTAGCCGGTGTGGCTCAGTGGAGAGCGTCGGCCTGCAGACTGAAGGGGGCGGGGTTCGATGTCCGTCACGAGCACGTACCTGGAGCCCCCTGCTCGCCAGGCACCCCTGGCGACCTGGGCAGACGGAGCTGTGCCAGGAGCATCTGGGCCATCTTTAGGGTGGAGAGCGAGGTGCTCGGGGCCGAGTGCAGAGTGGAGATGCTTTGAGGTCCCCGTTCTGCCCCTTCCATTGGTTTTCCCCGGAGCCACCAGGGGGCAGAAGGAGACCTCACCCAGTGCTCACACCTCTGACGGGCCATGGGGAGTTGGAGCTTGCTTCTGGCCCATCTCGGCCAGCGTGTGTGATGCGGAGTCCATCTCCTACCTGGCGTGTCTGATTGCTTTTTCAGGTTTGGGTTGTCTCTGAGTTAATTCTCCCTCTGCATCTAAGACGGTGGTGAGAGGAGATGACAGCTAAGTCGTGTCCTATAGAATGGCTTTGGGGTTGGGTCCCGGGCCCCACAGCATCCCCCTCCGCATTGTTTCCCGTGTCCAGCCTGGCTGGGCTGCTGCGGGCCCGTAGCACCTCGGATCTGCTTGTTGGGAAAGCCTTCAGCAGCGTCCTGTCCCCCCACTCGCACCCCCACCCCTGCCCCTGGCGGTTTAACCTCCCTGAGGTCACCCTTCTCATCTGTCCCTCTCCTGGTCCCACATCACAGCGACCCCTCCCGGCTGAAGGAACGAGCCCTGCCCGGCTGGCCCCACTTCTTCCCCTTCCCCCTCCATCTCCCCTCCTGAGACCACCTCAGCTTTTCCTCCTGGCTCCCGGCCTCCGCGGGGTGTCCCCGTCTGCCTGCCCCTTCCCCTCCACAGGTTCGTGTCCGCGAGGTCGGACCAGGCGCTGGATGGCTGCTCCAGGGAGGCCATGCCAATGGCGAAGACTTCCTGCTGGCTCTCCGCGGGGTCCCGGGTGCTGGGTCCGAGCTGCACTGGGACTGACGGCCTGGCCGGCCGAGGCTGCCGCATCTTTGGAAGAAGCGAGCGCCCAGCTCCGGGAAGCTGCAGGGAACCAGGTGTCAGTTCTCAGGGCCAGACCCCACTCCCCCAGGAGGGGTGATGCGGTCTGTGAATGAGTCTGCGGTCTCAGGTGCTGGTAGGCAGCTTCCCAGCGGAGCCGTGGCTGCGGGCCAGGCCGGGGCCCGTGTTCCGCGTGGCCCGGTGGGTGCTGGGACCCTGGCATCAGAGCAGTAAGTTGTGAGGGCTGGGGAACACTTTGGCTTCTGGGGTACAAAGGGCACGAGGGTCGGGAGTGACACAGGTCGGGGCTGTGCTCCTGCCTTTGCCAGACTTTCCGTCCCCGTTTCAAAGCGAGAGAATAATACGAGCCGGTGCACAGACCATTTCAATCAAGACCAAGTTCCCCCAAAGGCCCCGATCCAGACCTCCCGGCTCCTGCCACACCCTGTAAAAACAGACTGAGCCGCGGCGTGTTTGTTTTGTCCTGTGACTGGTGTTTTGTGCCGCCAGTGAGATCCTCGGGCGTCGGGCCCGAGAGAGGGCGGCCTCACTTCTGATGCGACTGCTTGCGGACGCCCCTCAGCAGTCACTTCCTCCTGGGCTGTGAGGCTGCTCGTGGGAATCGCCTGGGCAGCGGGTTCCGGGCCAGTGGGGCCTGGGTTTCCCATTCCTCCTCATCTTAAAATTTTGTATTTTTATTTTTAAATATATTTTTATTGATTTTGGGAGAGGAAGAGGGATAGAGTTAGAAACATCGATCAGCTGCCTCCTGCACACTCCCTACTGGGCCTGTGCCCGAAACCAAGGTACATGCCCCTGACTGGAATCGCACCTGGGACCCTTCAGTCCGATGCTCTCTCCACTGAGCATCGGTCAGGGCTAATTTTATTCCATCTTGATTTGTTACAAAGGGAACTTGCCTTCATCAGCTATTTGCCCCCAAAGTACAGTGCATGTAGAGAAGCCGGATCCGTTCTCTTCTCACTCTTGGTTAGCAGTTTTCCAAATAAGGAGTTGGTCTCCGCGTATTTCAAAAGTGGGCAGTGAGTTTCTTCTCGAGTTTCATAGGAACTTGCGGATTGGAACAGAGAAAGTGGTCACACAGGCAGCGAAGGAGATGTGTCTGAGCCTTTCTTTCATTTACCCGTTCTCATGATATTAAGTTTGCTCCTTACACTTTGAAGGTGATGGATTAGGGGTGTGTGTGTGTGTGTGTGTGTGTGTGTGTGTGTGTTGTGAGGTAAATGTACTTAACGTGTTTAGACGTAGTTGGTGAGTTTAGTCCATTGCAGTTACATCTTCCTGCAGCTCCTCAGATATCATCTTTGGCCAGTGGGAGGCGCCTCGTGATCCATTCATTCATCTGCTCATTCCTTTAATTGGGCGCTTGGTGAGGCGGTTGTAGGCCAGACGCAGAACGAGATGTGGTCGCTGTCTTTTGTCTGCAAGAAGCTCCCGGACTTTAAGGAGAAGCACGGACAGATTGCGACCAGAAGGGGGTGTCATGGCCACTGCAGAGATAAAGAAGGTCAGGGCCTGGAAGTTGTACCTGTCACTTTGACCACTTACCAATGGTCAGAACCTAGTCACATGACCACACCTAGCTGCAAGGAAGTCTGGGGAATGTAGTCCTTAAGGAGGTGACGGCGTGCCTTCTCACTCAGTAGACCATCAGTTCACCTGTGTCACCTGGGGATCTTGTTAAAATGACTCTAACTCAGCTGGCTGGGGTGTGGACGTTTTGCATTTCCCTCAAGCCCCCCAGTGAAGCGGGTGGTCTCGGTCCTTGGACCACATTTAAGTGCCGCAGCTCGAGGGTCAGCCGACCCCAGAGGAGGGACTGTCTGCTTTCAGGGCAGCAGGCGCCGCCTTGACCTTCCACTGCGGCTGCGGCTGCTGTTTGGGTGCATGTACGTGGAGTATGTTGCTTGTTTGTATCGATAGTAAATACCCAGCAAGGTGTCCGGCCCGTGTGGCTCCGTGGTTGAGTGTTGACTTCTGGGCCAGGAGGTCAGGGTTCGATTCCCGGTCAGGGCACATGCTGGGTTGTGGGCTCCATCCCCAGTGGGGGAGGGGAGAGGACATGCAGGAGGCAGCTGATCAAGGTTCTCTCTCTCCATGGATGTTTTTCTCTCTCTCTCCCTCTCCCTTCTGCTCTGAAATCAATGAAAATATATTTTAAAAAATAAATAAATACATACCCTGGCCTGTGCCAGCATGCACAGTGGAGCTAGAAGCCTCTTGGCCCCAAGAGCTTCATGTGCATTCGCTTTTGTTTGGAATCTGCGGACCAGATTTCCCTGCGGACCAGAAAGTCTGAGTATTAGGATTTCCAGAAAATGATATAAAAATGAGTTATTTTCTAAGTAGAAAACAAATCACAGTAGCACACAGTTTTCTTGGCATTATAAGTATCTAGACCCGTGGACTCCATCCAATTATCTCCAAACACTTGGGAAAGTGTGAATAATTATACTGTGTGCCAGTGTAAATAGGGGTTTTATTTCCTGGAGAAATCTAAGCACTTCAAGGCCCTTTAAGTGCGCTATCTTCTAAGTGCCATTAATCAAAGTGGAAGTGTGCATCCCGCCCTTCCTCGCCTCCTGGCCTGGTGGGCCGCCCCTCCCTCTCCCACGCTGCCCCCACCTCTCCACGGAGGCCCTGAGCCTCGGCCCTGAGGCGGCCGACTGTCTGGGTCTCCTGCCCCCTGCCTCCCGCACCCGGAGCCTCTCCCGCCCCCACGTGGGATTTGAGGTTTAGGTGTCTCCGTTTGTGCCCAGCAACTGGCCTTTTCTGCTTGACATGCAGCTCTGGGTGCAGGGGCCTGATCTCCCTCCAGAGGCACACCCCCACACCCCCCTCCGCTGATGGGCAGGCCGGGTCCTGAGGAGGGGGGGGAGCGAGGGGAGCCCCGGGGAGCGTGTGCTCTGCGAGCAGTGGGGGCGGT